AACGTTCTGGCCCCAAATGGGTGCACAGAGCCCCACTGGGAGCCCCGCTGCTGCACTGACCCTACTCTGGTCCTCAGAGCTGCTCCCTAATGAACCAGAACCAGCCCAAGTCTGCACAGAAGGTCTGTCACCAGGGAGAGGTGTCAAAGGTCCTGCCCTCCAAGCAGTTATACTCAAAAAAAAAAAAAAAAAAAGTTAAAAGCAAAGAAGAAAAATCCTTCTTGGGACTTTCTCTTGCASTTCCCTCCTGCTCTTCTAAGACACTTACATCCATCTTTGTACCCCAGAAGTTTTCCAGCCTCTTGACTGGATAACTTGAAACTCCGTGTAATTTCTCTTGCTTGCTGCATATTAGGCAGTGCTTGCAATTAATGAGGCGATTCTCTGTATTCCTTCATCTGTCAGCTTCTGGGAAAAACAGTACTTGGAAAAATACACAAAGGAGATGAAAAGGAAGCTGCTTATGAATTATGCACAGCCTTTCAGCTGACGCTATTTCACGAGGCTGTTGCTCTGTTTTAATTGAGTAACTCAAATGGCATCAAGCCATTTTTGAAAACCCCATTTACGTTTGATCACCTTTCAGAGGTTACATTCAGATGGCTCATGTTAGTTGAGGTTTTGCTTTTAAGTAACAAAGGCTGGATCCTTACTGTCCTTCCTGCTTAAACATCGGAGAAAGGAAACACCCCTGCAAGTGCACGGGATGCAGCAGCTTCGCTCCAGCAGTGCCCAGACATGAGCTAGGTCCCTCGGTGGCTCCAAACACGAGCTAGATCCCAGAGTGGCTGCATGGATGGTGAGTGACCTGTGAGCACCCAAGGATGAGGAGCAGAGTGTGCAGATCCAGCCAGTATGTCCCTAGGCATTGCACTTTGGCCGAAATGTCCTTTTTCCCGCTGTTTCCCTACGGATGTGCAGCTAGGAACCAGCCCCCCACACCCGGAGAGCTGTCTCTGTGGTAGCTGGGGCTTTGGGCACSTGTGACTCGAGTCATCAGCTCTCACCTGGAGCTGCCCGCTTTGAACGGCTGCACATCCGCACTCCACCTCCTGCGGCGGGATGCCGGGTGGTGCTGTGAGCGCTTGCGATCAGCTGGRACCTCCACATCCATCGCCTCAGCCCAGGGCTCCGCAGCAGACAGAGGACAGTCCCTCCCAGCCCTGGTGGGGCTGAGGGCCACGCTTGCCACCCACTTTGTGACAGCGCTAATGATGTCGCCTGGCGCCGATTACGCAAGGCCGAGTGCCACCGAGGCGCAGCTGTGTGCTCCCCGGCATCTGCTCCTTTCTCCTCCGCCACTGGCCCGTTTCAATAGGGTACGTTGTTTTCAGCACTGCTTCCCTCCACCTTTCCTTGCAAAGAAACCTTTTAGCAAGGGATTAAAGCTTCAGGCTGCTGGACTGAATTTGGGATCTAAATCTTCCCAAGTGGCGAGTGTTGGGGCTGGCTACTGTGTATCCACAGCAAGAGGGGTCTGCTGGGTCTTTGCACTGGATGCAGACGTGGCCTCATTGCTCTCCATGAGGACAGCCAGCACTGCAGTCCTTGGCACGCAAGGAGTGCAGTGTCAGACCAGGCGTGGGGCTGCCTAATTCCCTGTGCCCTTCACAGAGGGATSTCCTGCTGGGAGAAATGTGACGCTTCCTGGGAGAAGTTTCTTTCCCACCCTGTGGGCCTGTTTATGCCCTGAGTACCAAGCTCAAGTGTTTTCCAACTAGGAAATCACATGTATTTTGTTCATTTACTGCCTGCTTTTGCTTTTCCAGTCTTGCTTTGCAGGACTTCTTGTGAAACATTGCTCCGAGCAGTCACTGCGATTCCCCTTGGAGGGGGGATACAGCAGTTGTTGGGTTTGGCCCTGTTTTCACGTGTGAGCTGTCCTGGAGAGGTTACTATGAATTGAGCAGTTGTATTTACTCTCAGCATTGCCACCCCAGCTGTGCTGTAGCAGATTTATTTCCAGTGCCAGACTGGACCAAGCCTCTGCATTCATGCCTGTTAAGCTGGCCAGAAATGAGTTTGCAGAATGGGCAGTGCAAGCAGAGTGTGGCCACTCTCATTTCTGACTTGCTTCTGCAGGGCGATGCTGGATGGTGACAGGGATGTCACCCTGCTGTCTCAAGCCACCGTGGGCTGCCCTTGGGGATGGAAACTTTTTGGGCAGCGTGTGGTTCTGCGGGTGGTATGAGGACCATCTTATGAAACTGGCAGACTGYGCCATGAGGTCTCGGCGATGTTGCTTTTAGTATGCTGGCCAAATTCCACATGAAAAACTTATTTTTTCCTCTTTAAATGTCATCTGGACTTTGAACTGACTCTTAACAGCTTTTGCTTCCCGTCCTAAACTTCCGCGCTGTTGACGGCTGCTGGAGGATTATTTCCCTTCACTCACTGGCATAGTGGTCCCATAGGCTTTGGGCTCTTCAGGATGTAAAGTGCTTCCGTAGCCGTTTTGGCTTTTCGCCCCTAACATTTTGTACAGAACATGCATGCTCAGGGGCCAGCCTCTTGAGCTCAATTTGCTGTGTTGCAGAGCTGCCCAGTGGCCTGAATGCCCTGGGCCACATTGGGCCCCCGCTGCTGCACCCTGACCTGCCCCGATAACCATGCTGAACAGCAAAACTACTGCCTTGGCCAGCAACACATCACATTTGGTGACAGGAGATTGCAGAGGGCTTCCTATTAAACCTCATTCTCTGAAACATGGGAGGAATGGGTTTGTGCTGAGGGATTTGAACAGGGTGCAYGTAGAGAGTGAGTGTAACCGCAAGTCACTGCGCCAAGGCAGCCGGTTTCTCCTCCTCCTGGCAATAAAACTGTTGCCCCCATCCAATTGCCCTCTCAAATGCCCTTGCACAGCTCAAATACAACTGTTAAACGTGCTGCTTCTCCCAACAGGCAGGCTCTGGGAGGGAAAACATGTACCATTTGCAGGAGCTGTTAATAAYGGGATAGGCTGTTGCTCTTCAGATAGTGTCCCTGCTCGGCCAGGAGAGTTCTGCTGGAAATGGATAAATGAGTTTGGGCTTTATCTGCCGTGCAGAAGGTGGTGCTGAAGTTTATCTCTACGTTAGTTATCCCTGGCCTAATTATTCATTAGTGAACCATTGCTTTAAGGTGGGGCAAGGTTTACYGTTTTTTTTCAAACAGTCTTCCCCTGAATATTGTGTTTTTCCCCAAGAGGGATTTCCCCTTCCTCCTGTTTGAGAAGAGAAAATAAGAAAAGGATTATCATTATGTACTTTATAATCTAAGTAGTTACTCAGCTAAGTAGTTGCTCAGCTGCGCAATTTTCAGACCATCTTTTAAAAAGAATGAAAAAAACCCAGCCTCACCTAAAATATGCCGTTTTCATAAGGTTTTAATTCCATTTAGTCTTACGAATTTATAGCATGAGTGAAACCCTGAAGCAGAATTGAGAAGTGCCAGCTAGAGTTGTTTGCACGTAAGCTGTGTAGTTGTGTCGCTTGGTTTCGAGGGGACAGATCCCTTCCAGTCGCGTGTGCCTCTGGACATCCCGGAATTTGCTGCTCCYGGTTCTTCTAGCACAGATGGAGGGAAACCAAGGAGGAGAGGGAGCTACAGCACCATGAGAAGGGCACAGATGCCTGCAGGGATTACGCTCCTGTTGAGCACAGTCACGCAATTTTGCAGCCTGGGCATTTCCAAACCGTTCTGCTCGGAGAGCTGTGCAGCACAGAGCCCCTGGATTCACACTCTCCCATGGATTTGCTCCGTGGCCCTTCTGGGATTTACTTACTTCTCTGCTGCTGATGCTCTTTCATCAGCCCCCATGTAATGGGTTTGAATCTCAGCCGCCTTGGCCAGACCAGTGAGGACTAAATGTTTCTTTCCAGGAAGGCTGTGACAGACCCTAATCGCTCTTCTCCCCGAAAAACAGGTGTAAAAGAGAGAAAAGGCAGCAGGCTAAGGAAAGAACAAGGCTCGAATGCAGCTCAACTTAYTTAAGAGCGGTTTGCTCTGGGTCAGCAGCTTGGAGGCCACGATTTAAGCACRCTTAAGCATTCAGGGAGGTGAGCAGGACTGGGAGGACGAGGAGCTCCTCCTCCATGGGGAAAACTGCGCCCCATCCTAGATGCACTTTTGGGATAGTTTCTCTTACGCTTTTCCCTGTATAGATGCACACAAGAGCAGCATGTTCATGAGTTCCATTTCAAACTCTCCTGCTTATGCCCAGGTTGTTTTGTGCCCTGTACATGAGCTTAATGTTATATTTTGGTATTTCAGGGCTAAGCAGCCCTGTAAATAGCATCGAGAGGCAGCCAAGTGAGACCAGGATGTAATTAATATGATCCTTTGAGCTGAGGGGCTGCCATATGCCCAAATAATTGGGGCTGTTCATTTTAGGAGGGTGAAACCCCATGAAAATTTTAGCAAAAATCAGGTGCTTAATTCCTTCCCATTGCAGACCTCCATTTTTATGGCTGATTTTCCTCTACAGCAAGTTCTCGAACTTCTTTGGTACAATTCTGTCAAGTGCCATTATGCACAGTCATCTTCCTAGCGGCTTTAAAAAAASTGGCTAAGAGATCTGGTTACTGACGTTAGATTTTCGCTTGCTTCGGTCCATGAATCCAGTTAATTTAYTGCCAGCAAACAAACCCCGCATGAGTTTGCTGCGTTGCAATGGATGCCCCACTGCTGGGTTCATTCCCTCCTCATGGTTATAGCAAAAATGCAATCACACTAATACTGGGTTATTAATCTCTGCTAATGGCTGTAATCACATCGGCTCTTAGGAAGTTGACTAAAAGTGATGTCCCTCTGACCAGGGTGAAGAATGAGGAGAATYGTGGGCTCCACAGAAGGGAAGTGTTTGTGGGCCAGCTCATCTCCTTTTACAGGGAGATGCGCTTTGGAAACACAGCTCTCCTTTTTAGCGTCTTTCTGCCTCTCCMTCCTTTGCCCAGACCTGTGTCCTGTGCCTGGCTCTGTAGCCGTAGCATTAATTTGTTTTTCCTCTTCCTTTTCAGTTACTTTGCTGAGAGATGGCGGAGCAGCGTCAGGACGTCCCCATGATGGAGGATCACTCAGCCGGCCAGGAGAAGCACGTCCCATCAGGTAAGCTGCTCCAGGAGGGCTCCTGTGAGGGACCTGCCCTGCCCCACTGCGTTGGGGAGCACAAGGGGAGTCTGGGGTCATCTAGGAGGACTGTGTAGGGGCCCTTGGTGGGTAAGACACTCACACTGTCCCTCCAGCCAGGAGCAAACCTTGAGAGATGAAGGACAAAGATGAACAGCACCAGACTTAGGTTCAAAGAGCAGTTGTAGGTGTGAGAGAGAGTGTCTGCACTGATGTCTCTGTGGGGATGGTTAGTGCAGATCAGTCAGCTGAAACCTTYGACACGTAGTCTACAAGATGCACTGATTTTATAGCCTTAGGCAAATGATGCTGCCACAAGGCAGGCTGATGGAAGAGGGCAGCAAAGTTGACGTGTCACATTTGGCTGTGTGGTGGCATTGCCCAGCGAGAGTACAACAGCTCCTAGTATCCCCTTCCTTGTTCCTGCAGCTTTGCAAATGTACATGTTTGTGTTTGCTACTCACTGGGCTGTAACAATACAGCACTGCTTTTCGTTGGGGACACGGCTCATGGGTGCTTCCTGCTGCCTGCTTCATCACCCACATGGGGAGCTGGGGACAGCTGAGCRGGGCGCCCTGGCAGCAGGGACCATGTCAGAGACTCTTGTCAGCATTTCACACTTGTGTTTCTCAGGAGGACCTTGTCTTTCTCATCTCGCCATGCTTGGAAGCCCACATAATGCCAGGGAAGTGGGTGGGACTCCCTTCTGATTGAGCTCCATGTAAACATCATCTTGATTTTCTTTTCTTGAGGTGCTTTGGATACAGCTTGCACCAGATAAATGGGTTGTCTCTGCCCTGAAGAGAATCATTTCARCCCATTCATTCTGGCTTCATTTCAACCCCACAGCCCCTTGCAGCCGGTAGCTCATCTTAGCACATCACAGTTTCCTAGGGATTTTGCTTATGTTAGTTTGAAACTTCTTTTCCAAGTCATTTGCTTCACTTCTCATTGTTTCATTTGCCCAGGCTCCTTGCAAAGAGGAGACCTGTGCACCTTGCTCTGCCATCCCCAAAGATGACTTTTGCAGCCAAGTCTTCCTGTTTTCAGGTCCATGCTACTCCAGGTCCTTTAGAAAGATATTGCTGATTTGCAGCAGTTAGAATTACACATCATGGAAGAGCTCGGCTGCTTTGGGAGGGAGACTCAGGACTCCAGAAATGTCACAGGGAACATCAGTGACTCAGAAGTTGCACTTCTTTTCTGCTATGTTGCCACAATCTCCTTTCCTGCTTGTGCTTTGCTGTTTCTTGCTGCCCGGTTCACTGGACTTTTCTTTTGCTGATGGGCTCTGCTTGCTTCTTTTGGCAGTGGCACTGGTGCTTGGGTTGGCATTTTCACGCTTTGCTTGCTTATTAGTTCAAGTGTTTTACACTCTGCAACTGCAGTTTCTTTATTGCTGCTGTGCATCGGGGCCGTCACAGGTTCATAATACGCAGTTCTTGACCCACAGCCAGGCACTTGTTCTAAGTATGTGAATGTTTTCCAGGCTATCCCCTTCAGATACCAGTTGATGATGGATCGGATGAGCCTGTTTCTGAAACATCTGACGCTAAGAGCACCCCAACTACGGAAGGTGGGAGCTCTTTGACTTACTGCTTTGAAACCATGATAAATGGGGCCATGCAATGCCTTGCCACAGGGCTCGCTGGGTCCTGTGGGGTTTCTGAGGAGGAGCGGCTTGCCTTGCGTGTCCAAGCTCTTGGACAGATGGTCTTTATCAGTCTGATCACATGCAAGGTTTGCCACTCTACAGGACTCTCTCTCTATATATATATRTTTCTTTCAGGCTGGTGAAGACTTTAAATTGAGAGTGCAAAGTATTAGAATTTCGTGCTTTGCCTGCAGTTGGTCCCTTGAAGACTTGCTGCGCTGTAACTGCAGGGTCCCATTAGCTCAGGGTCTTTGGGAGCCAAACCATGTTGTGAGCTCTGCTCTACTGAGATATCCCCAGCTCCTCCTGGTCTCCGTGTTCCCTTTCAGAGTTAGCTGTAGCTTGTACCTTGTTTTTTTAATCTCCTCTCTAATTATATACTCATTAATACAGCATGATTCATGCTGGCATGATGAGGTGGGCAGTGTTTATATATAAAGCAAAACTTTGTTTTGATAATCAGATTGGTAAATCATATTGGTAGGACTTGGGGCACATCTGCGCTGCTCCTGAGTGTTCTCTGAATGCTGCGTTTTTGAGAAGAATCTTAATTTGRAAGTGGTCTGGAGACTTGTTTACGGTTTTAATTAGTTGCACTTTTTTGCAACTGGCTGCTTTAAGCCAAATATCTGCCTATCGCATGCTTCAGGTAAAGATATTAACTTAAAAATTTGTCTAAGGGAAAGAGCTGACCGGCTCCAGCCCTGTCTCTCTGGAGGTGTGGGCTGACAGTGCCCTCTGAAATGCTCCCGTTCCTGCCTGCGGCTCGAGGAAGCAACGTGCGAAGCCTGGCTAGTGCAGACGGGGACGTTGCCCGTTTTCCCCATCGGATCAGGGCCGTGGGAGCGCCGAAACATCCCACGGGCAGGCAGAGCTGGCAACCTGTCTGTCTCAGAGCTGCCTTTAGGAAGGTCTCGGCCAGGAGCTGTTCTCCTGCCTCGGCGAAGGGCCCCGTGCAGCTCAGGCTCTCTTGCGCTCCGTGTTCGCATCCAGCGGTGTAAGGAGTGTGCCGGAGCCGGGCAGCATGTGCGGTGGAGGGTTGTCTCCCCCCACCGGCACTGGCTGAAAAGGAGGGAGCTGGGTGCTTTTCCGAGCGAATTGTTCTTCAGGCACATCCCAGCCTCCGCAGGGTTTTGCCTCACCACAGCTGTGTGAAAGCTGCGTTGTTTTTCAGATGCCACAGCACCCTTAGTGGAGGAAGGAGACCACGAAGATCAGGGTGGTGTCGAACAGCACGGGGAGATCCCAGAAGGAACCACAGGTGAGGGAGACCCAAGTGCAGTCTCRTCTCCTGAGCAGAGAGCTGAGCTCGTTAGTGCTTTGTAATGTTGCTGCAAGACCTGCCACAAACACCATGCTTCTCCTGATGCTTCTCTCTTCTCCACAGCCTGAAGAAATAATTCCTAGCTGTACTCTTGCCTTCCTCAGCCCAAGGAGAGCTTGCAGTGTTTTCTTCTCTCTTTCTCAGCTTCACATGTGACAATCTCTCTATCTGGTATCTCTGTGGTTGGTGGCTTCTCCTCCCCTCTCCAGGCTAAGCTTTTCTGGAGATCCTGCTGGGCAGCTCTGCCCGTGTGACAGCAGCCCGGCTTTGCCGGTGAGGACCTTGCTGCTCATCTCACCATTGCTCTTGCTCAGCTCAGCCCCTGCAGTTGGCTTTGAAGCGGCAGGTGAAAACCAGGCCACTGCAGCAGCTCTTGGGCTGCCAGGGTGTGTTGAAGATAATGCAGAGGAAGCAAAGTGGCTCATTCAGCCTGAATGCTCTGCGGGAAGYCACTGCACCCGGGTTTGGATTTGCAGGGAGGGTTGGGGTCTTTCATAGGTGGTATAAAATGAGATAGAGCTCCAACCACACTATGTGTGTCCAGCAGGGCAGAGGATCCCAGGAAAGCCAGGTTTGTATGTCCAAAACTAGTGCGTGGCTCCTGTGCACGAGCCTCTGGGTTTTCCTGGGACCATCAGGCAAGGTATGGTGAATCCCGGGAAAGGTGATGGGTGGAAGCACTTCAGCAGATGCACAGCACACTCTCTTGGCAGCCAAATTTTCCTGCTTCCAGTCCCATGACTGCCAGTGGAGCCCTGGACCCAAGCACGGAGTAGCTCCTCTGCCAGTAAGGATGGGCAGTGTCTGATTCCAGATCTGACCCTATCTGGGAGCTAGGAGGAAGCCGTGTCCTGAAAGCTTTGGAAAAGGCAGGAATGGAGACAGAAAAGACAGGAAAGGCTGTAGGGCTGTGACTGACGGCACAATAAGTTTGTTTGAAAGTAGCCATATGAGAAAATGAAAGAATTCTGACAGAGACAAACCGTCATGGCTGCTGTGGGAAAAAAAAAAAAAAAAGGTGCTTCTCCAAATTACCAATATTCCTGAAGTATCAGACTCATGTGAGAGTCAGTGTCCCCGGGCCCCCGTTACCACTGTTCRCATGTGTGGGTGCTYGCTAGTGGCTTGGGACTCATGTGAGAGGAACTGAGGTTAATGTCAAATACCAGCAAGGTCAGGTAAGAGTTAGACATTCAGGTGCATGYTGACAGCTACATAAATGCAAAGTGGAGCACAAGATGGGATATAAATCCTCAAGTTTTCCTGCTCCTTAACAGCCTGTTTTCCATAAATCTACCTGAAGGAACTTGTGCTCTCCCCTCACCCAGGATGTCCGGTTTGGGGAAATATTCTTCCACTGTAGTACCATACATGCTAAGTAAAACTAGCTAGGTCATCACCACCATGGGTCTTTCTGATACTGCTGTGCTCGCAATACAGCAGTGTTGGGCACAAATAGCAGGGGAAAAAAAATATTCCCAGGCACATGTTTGAAATATAATCCTTGCCGTTTTGGTTGTGTTTTCCCTTTCTTTCTTCAAACGGGGACCAGCTGAAGAGGCAGGCGTAGGAGCCACCCCCAACCTGGAGGACCACGCTGCAGGAGACGCCGCTCGAGGTCAGTGTCCCCGGGCCCCCGTTACCACTGTTCACRTGTGTGGGTGCTCGCTAGTGGCTTGGGATTTTTCTCTAGTGCTGGGATTTTTCCCTAGTGCATCTGCTCTGTTGGAGCAGCTCTACAGTTCTCCCTGTCCTTGACTGCGGAGGGTCCTACATGGTTTGAATGTCCCAGCAAACTCATTTCAGAGAACCACAGCTTCTCATGCACCGACTGCCTCTCCCACGTGGCTGCAGCCCTCTCTTTGCTCGTCCAGCTGGGCAGCTTCCAGGCTGGAAAAGGTAACGAATAAGAGCGGGRATGATGTGGTCAGGCAGGAACAACTGAGCACACAGGAGGAATCAAGTCGGTTTGGGCCTTTCGTTTCACATCTCAAGTCTGACTAATTTCTCTGTCTCAGTTCAACTTGAAAGATGGTCTCAAAGCTACTCGCTAATGCACTTCAACATGAAGGGCGTTTTCTTCTTAGTCTCAGAGGACATGATTTATAACACCAGGCACGGTGGACAGTGAATGTTTGTCTAGCATCAATTGTGCATCTGCTCAGACAGGCCAAGGAATTATCCAGAGATGCCCTGGCTATCTGGAGGACCTTTCCTAGCTCTGCTCAGTTCAAACTTCACCAAAAACATTAGGATTTTGTTCTTTTTTCCTGGAAGCCACCAGTGCAGACTTAGTTCTGTGCCCAGTGGGGCAGTTAGGTGCTCAGCCTTCCTTTGGTACAACTCTCCGCCTCGTCCTCACAACCAAAGCAGCAGTTCTGTGTGCTATTAAAAAACTCCATTAAATCCCATTAAGACATTCAATTAAATGCTGTCGGGCAGTTCTCTTTGTGATTTGTGTAACAAATTCCACCCGTTTGGGCAACATCTTTCTTCCTTGTGCTTGCCTTACTCCATTTACAAACATCCATGTCTCTTGAAGAAATGAGTGGCCACCTTTGCTTTCTCCGCTTAGGGCAGAATTCAGACTGTTCCCGCTTTCGACACCCAGGTGAGCATTGCTTTTAAATACAAYTAAAACATCTTTGCTACCCTATCATACATTTAAAACATCTTTGCTACCCTATCCAGTGGTTCTTGGGCTAGCAGCTCTTTTCTACTTAAAACAGTGGCATTGCTGCAAAATTGCAGTCAATATTGTTAGCAGGAGCGTGATAAAGTTCTCTCTGTCATCTGCCCTGATCAGTCTGGTTCTAGCTGCTGTTTCTCAGCAGATTTTTAAATAAAATTTTTCTCTTAATGCTGAGATCTTTCAGCAGTCAGATCTGGGAACACACAGCTAGCCAGAGCTCCGAGGTGACCAGTACCTGACACTTCTAGATTCTTCCTTAAATTTTTATTTCTCTGAAAATGGACTTTTAAAAATATGCTTCCTTTTAATGATGCTGTGGTTGTCTTTGATTTGGAGGAAAACACAGTTACTGATGCGTGCACATAGTCATTGCACAGCTTGTTCTGCCTACCCTCATTTTTCATGTTGCGAAATTTGAAAAAAAAAAAGAAAAATCTTCGCTGTGAAGATAGAGCATGTTCAAATGCCTCACATTTCAGTCGGAGAAGCATCTTTGGATCTGTATTTTTTGCCATGCTGGAGTCTGCCAACTCTTGACCTTGCTCTGCACATCCAGCTCAGAACAACTCATGAGTCCCGGAGCTTGGAGTTCGACTAATGAATGAACAGGCTGCATCTCTGCCCCGACAGTCGTTATGGTCTTTTGTCTTTGCTTGCAGAAGAAATGAGCCTAAATACTCTCTTGGTTACTCTGCAAACATCCTTCAGCTCTCTGTGGTGGGTTATGAAAGATGTTTTTTAATAACACAGTTCAGTTATTACCTGTCAGTAGGTGCCTATTTCAGGCGACTCCAACGAGTTTGGAGGTCTCTGCGTGGTAACGTTGCGTTCTCTTAAAACAGGGAGAATAAAAGACTGAGTCAGCAGTGACTTCTTTTCTTGTTTTAATTTCTATCATTTAACAAAACAGCTAAAATCTTAAATACTAAAGTGCTCTAATCTAAACCCTTTGGTTTACTAGGTAAGGGCTTAAAAAGACCCCGAAAGAATTTGAAGCTCGACAAACGCAGAGTACAAAATGCCCATTCTTTGTGGAGCAGTTGCCTGTTAAGGCAGTTTACCTGTGGTCAGGGTGATTTCTCCATCGCTCAACGCATCTTTGCTTCAGCTGGATGAGTTTTTCAGAGAAAAGCTCCAAGTCAAGCAGAATATATGGCTTAATGCAGCAATTGTTGGATGAAATTATAAAGGTCTGTGTCATGCATGAGATCAGTGGTGGGACATAATTGTCTCTTTTACCCTGAAAAAAAAAAAAATCTGTGTGTCTATGACCTTCACTTTTGGGTTTTAAATGTCATGTTTTCTATTCAGCCCAAAGAGTGGCAGCGATGCTGGAACGCTGATTAGCCTGAGTGGGTGCACGGTTCAAAATTGCTGTGGCTGTGAAACTGCTGCCATATTTTTACTGATCCTCCTCTCYACTGAGGCCCTCTGCTCCCCTGGAGCAGAGAGGCTCTTGAAATCCATCACAGGAAGAGACGGAGATGTTGCAGTGCTCTTCCCCATCCTTGTTAGGAATAGAAATGGTCTGGAGAACAAAGCAGAGATGGTTGGAGCTCCGGGAGGATGCGAGCGGTGACTGATCCCCATCGACGTCTCCCAGAAGGGAGACGAGGACTCCTGGGATGGGGAGCGCCACGAGGGAGGGAGGGTGCCAGCTCTGTTTCCTCCTCGCCCGCGTGGCAAGGAGAGATGGGGTCTCGGCAGAATGGACAGCAGACGTATCCTGAGCAAACAAAAGCAGCCAGCAGCTTGGTTCACACCTGCTTCATCCGTGGCGGTTACCCACCAGCAAACTCGTGRTCTGGTGGTGGCACCAGTTCAAATGCGGTGTGTTTGCCTGGCTCCTGAGAGCCCCTGCAGCTCAAGCAGCTCCTGGAGCGCAGCTTGGCCCAGGGCTGGTCTATCCCAGCCCCTCCATCCCCATTAGCGTTTCCCATTCCCAGGGGGATTTTAAAGCCAGAGGCAACTGCAGAGGTGCAGGAGGTTGAGCGGGGCAGCGCGGGCCTTGCTCTCAGCCTCTGGAGCAAGTGTAAAATTCCGTCGTCTCGTTAGCGTTGTGTGAACACCTTCCTGTCTGACTTGCCTGTGCTAATTGTTTACCGTGCTTCATACCCTGCGTCTTCAACTCCAGGGGAGCTGAGCTCTCCAAAGCAGCAGCCCGATCTCCAGGAGCATGTGGGAGATGCAATAAAAAGAGAAGGTCAGCCCTCAAAGCAGGCAGATGGGGTTCCCCGGGAGCCTCTTTTGGCTCATGAAGCAAAGGCTACAGCAGCTGCTCCCACCAGAATCGAGGTCACTATCCCATTACCCCCAGACATGTACCAAGACTCCAGACCATCCGAAGACAGCAGTGAGTTCTGGGACCATCAGGGCAGAGAAGGCATTGGTGTGGCTCAAGCACCAGGAACAGAGCTAGGTCGCGCTGAGGGATTGCCARGTGCAGATGTCACAGATTATGCCCATATTAAAGATGGGACATCTCCAATATACCCCAGAGCTCCATTAAAAGAAGATGTTAGTGGACAGGAAAGAGATGAGGACCGTGACGTTGATGAAACTGCTCACCAGGATTCGGTGTCCTTGGTGGGACAGCCTGTTTCTCCAGGACTTGAAATGGGCTTCTCTCTAGCAAGAGCCAAGGAAGCTCATGAAGAACATGCTTTTGCAGAAATGAAGTCCAAAGATGTCCTTGGAGATGAATCGAGAGAGGCTCTTGGGGAAACTGAAACAGATAAAGCAGGAGAGGACCAAGAGGAGAGGAAACAGCCACTGACGGGGGAAGAAGAAACAATTGCCACCCTGTTAGAGCCCTCTAAAATCCCCCAAGCAGAAGCTGCAGCCRGGGAGGGACAGGACTCGGGACCCTCACTAGAAATAGCCAAGTCCCCTGTTGGGTTGCAAGACGATGCGGAAGGCAAAGCTGCTCCCCTGGAAGAGGCTGTGCCGGCTACGGGAGACCAGCGGACCCGCAAGAAGAAACCCGATGCTGCCATTGCAGACAAAGCGGGCAGCCGTGTCCCTCTCCTAAAAGGTGTGTGCCCCATTTGCCTGCGCCGAGCTCGCGGTGCTGGCGGCTTGAGCACAGCAGGGCTGCTGCTCCCGAGTCCCGCTGCTTGGGAAATGGCCTGGACCTGTGCTGCCAGCTCATCTACAGGGCACCGCTGCTTCTCCATCCCCTTCCTCCTCACCTTACGTTACTCCTGGGTATCCTGGCATGTTTGCCAGACCCTCACGCTTTGGTTTTGCGTCCCTTGCATGGTGTGTCCCTGATCCTGCTTCGTTCTCTTGGTTTTGCCCGGGTTTCTTGGGGTCTGGGGGGGCTCTAACTCGTGCCCCCCGCATCTTCCTAGCGGAGAAGAGGACTGAATTGTCCCACGGGCTGCTCTGGCGCGTGCTGCAGCTTGTTCTAGCAGGACACATGCTGCCGGCTTGCGTGTGCCTCTCTGACAACCCAGCTCTTTGTGCCAGCTTTCCTCAAGAGCAAGCAGGAAGAAAAAGGCAAGGGAGATGGCAGATCTAACCATAGAAAAGGCCCCGTGTTGTGGGGCCTCTTGGTCCTACTTCTGCCTACTAGGCGACCAGTTGGACCTTCCTCCATCCCAGGGCACCTCTGAGGCTCTTCCCCAACATTGTGCTCTGATCCCAGYGCAGGACGCACGTGCCAGGGTGGTCTAACAAGGTGGCCGAGTTTGGGCTGTTTTGCTGGAGCTGCCTGTGTGTTTGGAGGTGTGCGGGGTCCGTGGACGCATCTTAACAGCGGCTTGGGCGCTGGTGCATTGGGAAGAGCTGTGTTCATGCAGATCTGTCAGCCTCAGCTGTCCTGGGGGAAGGTTCGGGTTCGCTCCCCCAAGCTGAGGATTCCCACCAGCGCCTCTTAGATCCTTTTCTTCTCCAAGAACTGTTCTTCACTTTCACTGGTGGTCGGRGAGATGTCACTGAGGTGGGGCTTCTTTAATGGCAAAATGCAGATTTGCAGGGAATTGCATTAATAAACAGGGACAAGCATCACAACCCGACGGTGTCTCTCTTTATCAGACCTCAGCTCTGGCTGCCTGGGCCATGGCCTGGGGGAAGCTCTGCCTTTCACCCGGGGCTGCACCCCAAAAGCTGGCTTGGCTGCTTCCATTAGCCTTGAAACCCTGCTCGCTGCCTCTCCATCCCGGCGSAGGGAAGGGGGCCCTTCGCTGCACGGGGCACCCAAGGAAATGGTTGATGGAGCTTTTTCCGTCGGAGCTAAAGCTCATAACACATTTCTGGCCGTTGGCTCCCCGCTGAGCTGGCGGGGGGGCTTCGCACGCGCGCTGGGGACACGAGCATGGCTTGCGCGCACGGGCATCGCAGCCCGAGACCCGGGGTGGCCTGGGGGTGCCTGGGCCACGGTCACCACTTTCTGATTCCATAGCAGGGATTTCTTCAGTTTCCTGCTAAGAGACACGTCCTTGCTCCACTCTGCTGTTTTGCTGAATTTGGGAGGGGAGATGGATCTRCCACCTCCCAAAGGGGCTGCTGAGGCAGGTTGGGGTTGTCAGCGCTGGATAAATTACCTGGTTCATGTTGTTCGAACAAGCTGCCAGGGCCAATTTCCAGCCCCCTGAGGTGAATATCAGCAGCTTTTCCTCCCACGTTAGGGAGGAATTAGCTGATGGGCAAAGAGGACTTCGTTATGAGCACTGCCCTCTCCTACCTGTTATCTCCCTCTTATTTCTAATCTCCTGATTAGCAATACTGCCGAGTTGTCGTGCATGTAAACAAATGGGGCAAAACAGTGCAAATACCGTGACAGTCAGTGTATGTTCAGATGGACTGAGCAGGAAGGCAGCTAAAACTGCTAAGAGCCTGGGGAGCCCAACCCAAATCAAGGGCTCCCTGTCTGCTGGGGAGGCAGAACTCAGTGCGCCAGGGGCTGTGGAGGTGGCAGCTGCTGTGAAGAGCAGGGCTTTGCAGGCTGTGACACTGAACAACGTCCTCTGATCCCCTAGGCAGCTTGGTGCTAGCTAGGATGGGCATCCTTCCATTTTAGTCTTGATACACGTGGTCATTAGGACCAAACGGGTGTTAGTTTTACAGAGGGAGACTCGTGTTTAGACCCAAAGGGAGCTGCTCTTAAGTATTTGCTGCTAGGACCGGGTACAAATCTGGGTGAAATGGTCTCATTCAGACCTGGGTCTGCACAGCTGATGAGCCAGCAAGGACTTATGCACTGTTGCCTGTGCACAGGATAATCCATCAAGAAAATGCTTAAGAGGTGGCAATATTTCCATAATAAGTGGCAGTGTAATACCTATTATTTTGAAGATGARCATTTCATTTAAACGAGAGCAGGAAAGCCACTCAGCCTACCCGTTGCTGCAACACGGGTGTTACCAGCCATCTGCAATCCATTCTAACTGTGTGTGTTTCTGTTTGTCAGCTCGTGTTGACAGCAAAGGCAAGGAAGGGGCTGAGGCTGAGGAGAAGAAACCGAAGGTGAGTTAACCAATAAAGCAACATCAACCCCGCTAAGGGTTGCACAGGTTCCTGACTCCCTTTCCTGCTCTCCTGGATATGATCATTCCACTTAGGAAACCTTGCCCTTATCCTCATTCTTCATTCTTTCTTTCAAGTGTTTTTATTTTTCCCTCTCCTCACTCYGTTTGGACGGTGCAATCCATGGTGATTTGGGGAGGGGAAGGAGGTGAATCAGGTCTAAACCAAACCTGAGGCTGTGGGAGTGGTTAGCGAAGCCCTAGGCCAAGACTGGAAGGCAGCAGTTTGGTATTGCTGTGGCAAAACTAGTGTGGAAGCAAGGCCAGAACTTGTAGGGGGAACAGGCACCCCTGAGCAGCTGAGCTCTCCGGTAGCTCTTGGTGCAGCCATGGGACCCTGGCAGTGCCCCTGGCCTTTGCCCAGCTCTGAGCTGCCGCGAGGGACTGATTTGAGCCGTCACGTCTCCTGCATYGCACCTTCTAATCTTATTTGATGGTTGTGATCCCCTTCTCCTTCCTTCCCATGCTGATTTTTTTTTGTTCCAATTTTATTTCATTTCCATGTTTAAGAAATCCTCACCTTCCACTGCTAAACCCCCAGGCGATAGACCTTGCACCCCCCCCCAGCGACACTCCTCTAGCACAACCCCTTCGAACACACCCTCCAGCCCTGCTTCCACCTCTAAACGAGTCTCTTCTGTCACATCCCGACCTGCCAGTACCGGAACACAAGAAAACAAAGCCAAGGTAAGGAAATGGTGTGTGAAAGAGAGCAAGCTGCCTCGGAGAGCAGCTTCAGGTCTGACAACAGCTCTGGCTGCTCGAGTGGGACATCCTCTCTTTGTCCCCTTTAGCGRAGAGGGCAGGATTTGCTTCACCTGACACCAGGTATCTGCAGTGGCTGGGGCCAGTCGCAGCCAGACAGGTTATTTTACAGATTTAGGGAGGCTTTTCTGCAGGATCTGAAGGCAATAAATAGTATAGTTCTATAGACACCTCGTTCCAAAAGTTTTGCCTGTTACATTAGTGTATTTCAGGTGGGGAGGAAGGAGATGACGTTTCTCAGTGCTTAGAGTTTGACTCTGTCCTCCTGGAGCCTGTAATGCGGAGACAGTGACTGGACCTATTTACCTTCTGTACAAAATATTAGTGAAACGTGGCAAGCAAAACGTTCAAATTCAGGGAACAGGCAAAGTAGCCCAACTTGTGCTTTTTAACTGGGCAGTTCCCCCCTGCATTSATCTTCTCCCTTGCCTCCGCAGGGCCCAGAGATGAGAGGTGGCACCAAGACAGCCACGCCGCGCTCCGCAGCGGGGCAGGCTCAGAGGAACTCGACCAATGCCACACGCATCCCTGCCAAGACACCCACGACCCCCAAGACGCCTCCCGGCTCCGGTAGGTGATGGTGAGAACGGAGCATCCTCACACACGAGAGCCTCTGTTTCGGCRGGGCAAAGAAATTTGGCAGCCAGGAGAGCAGAGCTGGGACTGTTCCTCCTGGCTGAGCATCGCTGGATGCWCCTTTGCCCGCTCCGTTCATACAGTTACTAGGGTGGAAGGGAGGGCGCCTGCTTTATCCCATTGGGATTTCCTCCAATTTGGAAGATTTAATCAACTCAATTTTTTTAAATCTGTGGTGATAGTTCAAAAAGACCAGGGGCAAGAGGATCAATTGTTTGATTGCAGGAATGGGGATTAGCCCGTGATTCTCAAAGCGTAGACCCTGGAAAGCAGCAGGCATTCAGAATTTCCATTAAAACAGTACATTTCACTRAATATATATATTTTTGGTACTTAACAGAGCTTCATAAAGCCTTATATGAATTAAATTTTCCCCTTTATTATGTTTAAACATCTTTTTTCCTTCATTAAACAGGCAGAAAGGAGCAGAAAAAAACACCTCCTGCAGCAGCGAAATCTGAGAAAGGTAAGTGCTTAAGATTTTTTTTCCAGTTCTTTTTAAATGGGGAATACTGCTAAGCTACTCAGTAATCCAAACTTTATTTGATTTCCTATAATACCAGTTTTTGTTAAAAAAAATCTTTCTTACAGAAAAGCCGTTTTGTTTGAGTGGCTTTTGTGTGCGTTTTGTCGTGCGTGCTAATGTCATGCCGGAGTGGGGAATCTTCCCAAGGATCCGGCCACAGATGACAATCTCTCTGCTGGGATACAAAGAAACTGCCTTTAACCAGTTTCTGGTTAAAAAAGGAAGCAGAAGAAAAGTGCAGTTTGCTGGCGTGCTGCCCCCTTTGCATTGCATGGAGCAGCATGGCATTGTGAACCTCCTTCTTCCCTATATCCAAGAAAAGCTTCCTGAAAGCAGTTTTGTGGAGCGGGCAATACCTGAGTTGGCTCCCGGATGGGCTTATAAAGCAGCCACGTTGGTCAACACCATGAAGACAGGCAAAGCGTGGGGAAACCACTGCTCATTCCGTGCTTCTCCGTGTGTGTCCGCACTCTCCAGGTGGCGAGCAGCCCAAGTCCGGAGACAGAAGCGGTTACAGCAGCCCCGGCTCGCCGGGCACCCCGGGCAGCCGCTCCCGCACCCCTTCTCTGCCCACCCCGCCGGCCAGGGAGCCCAAGAAGGTGGCGGTGGTTCGTACCCCACCAAAGTCTCCTGCCTCTGCCAAGAGCCGCATCCAGCCGTCGGCCGCCCCCATGCCTGACCTGAAAAACGTCAAGTCCAAAATTGGCTCCACTGAAAACCTGAAGCACCAGCCTGGAGGAGGCAAGGTAAATGTGGAGGCTGCTTTGCAGGAGCCTGCAGGGCCGGGCGGGTTGGTGCCCTCCCCGCAGTAGCAGCTGGGGATGTTGGTGCAGCAGTGGGTAACTCTGCTTCAGCAGATCTCCGGTCTGCTGCTAGGTTTGCAGATTTGGGGCCGGTTAGGTTGGGGGCTTGTCCTGAAATTTCTTGTCTGGCTTAGAAAGATTCCCAAAAAAATGAGACTGGAGTTGCAGAGTGCTTGTGTGGTGGCTTTCCAAGTTTTCCCAAGCACCAGGATTTGAGCTCCGGCTCTGTTAGACAGCTTTTGGGTTATGTTCTGCCTTCAGGAGCTTCCCTGTATTGCAGTGTGAGAGGAACGTCCCAAACAGGTGGCCCTGTTGTCCTTTCTGCTACCACTACCACTTTGCAGAGGCTGTTTTAYGAGCAGAAAAGTGAGTTCTGTGCGCCGAGTGCTGGCGAGTGAGGGTCTTGTGCCAAGGAGAGAGCAGCTGCAGTCTCGCAGTCCCGAGGGAGAAGGGGTTTGCAAAGCGGGTGACGCTGAGACTTACAGCTGGGGGTGAACATCAGCATCCGCGAGAGCAGCCTCACAGCTCCGCTGTGTCCACGCGTTGTCCGTCACCCCTCCTCGCTGTGCGGGTGGGGACGTGGCCCTGGTCAAGTGCCTGGTTGCTCTGACCGGCAACGGCCCTGAGGGACATGTCGGAATGGCACGCGCGGTGGCCAGTGCCAGCCGGCAGTCCTGGCACGCGTGTGCTCGCCTGTCCCGGGAGGGCACCGCAGCCACGCTCGCTCCGGGGCCACTGGTGCCACAGAGGTGACAAATGTCCTCCCAAAGCAGTGTCTGCTGCTCTGTGGTGCATGATGGCTCTGAATGACCCTTTGGCACAGGGAGAGATGGCTCCTGTGCCCCGTCTTTCCTTCCACCCATGTCCTGGCGGGTGCTTTTGGCCGAAGCGTGTTGTGGGGTGGCACTCTGCATGTCCCTCTTGTGGCTTGCAGAGCAGCGTGTCCCTGGCCCTCCATCTGCCCGCTGCTGCTGGAGGACTTTAGAAGAAACCCTTCCATTTACTGTCTATCAGTTAAACTTGTTTGCTCATTCTTTTTAATCCATCCTGTATGAGCTTTTTTTCTCCATAGCTTCTCTCTCAGGCAACCCATTGTTTATTATTGTCAGAGAAAGAGCAAGAACAGCTGAATTTGGGGCAATTCCTTGCTCTTTGCAGGGGGCTGTAGGTATGAGGTTGCTTCTGGCAGGGTGGCTGCAGCGGAGGTGGCTGATGACAGCGGTTGGATTGCAGGGTCACAGGTTGATGGGACTGGAGCCTCCTCACTCCACCCGAATTTCAACCCCCAACCTTGGAAATAAAACACCTAGAGATCCAGGAGGCAGCACTTAGCCAGGCCACGTCTCTCCCCATTACTCCACATTGTCCAAGTGTTTTATTGCTGAATCACTAAGTACTTCTCCAAAGCCTGTGCTAGCCGAGCAGTGTCCTGGCTTGCAGGACTAATTGATCTGAGACTGAAAAACGGCGTTGCAAGCGCGTGCCAGCCCGGGCGCTGCTGAGGGCAGAGGCGCAGGGCATGGCGAGGGGCCTCCCTGCGAGGTCGCACACGCTCACGGGGGTGCTGCTCTCTTGCAGGATGCTTCCCCTCTCACATAAGGGTGTTTTTTTGGGGAATGAAGGTCTTCTAAGTGCGTGCKGGGTTGTACCTCCGTTTACCTCCTGTTGGTGCTGCGTGGGCCTTAGAGCCAATGCAGTCCGTGCAGAGGAAGGAGCAGGGATCGGATTCAACTGAGGCCCGTCTCGTTCAGGATAGCTGCCCCCACACGCACAGAGCCTTGGAAAAACCCTAAAACCCTAAGTGGAAGTAGCTTCATTAGCACCAACTTCTGTGCCAGGCAGGGGGAAGGAAGGTCCTAGGACTGGGTGTGAGGCTACGTGGGTCCATGGGTGTGTTTCCCGTGGGGTGCCTTGCCTGTCTCTGCCACCCAAGGCAGAGCTGGGAATAAGCTGCAGAGCACCCGCGTGCAGGGTTTGGTCTGCGCTGTCCCCTTCAGCTCAGCATGTTGGGACTTCAGAAAGCTGCACACAAGGGACCCGGCAGCTTTTGCTTTTCCCCTTTTAAACTGCAGAGGGAGTTTGAGCCCTGCACAAGGCAGAGCTCAGGCCTCCAGCCAGGCTGGGCACGCCGGTCCTGCTCTCCCAGCTCCCCGGCTTTGCTGGTTCTCTCCTGCTCGAGGAGGGAGCCTGTGGTGAGAGAGGGGCCCTGCTGTCCTGTGCGTGGCAGGAGGGCTTGCTGCCCCSCTCTGCCTTCAATTTTCAGCCCTTCAATAGACAAATCCACAGAGCAAATGAGCGATGATCCTTTGCCCTTGGCACTGGAAGGCAGGTCCCCGGGTTGAGTTAGGGAACACACGGTTGAGCTGCGGATGGTCATGTTGTTTCTCACGCTCTTTTCTGGCTACTAAAGGTGCAGATTATTAATAAGAAGCTGGACTTTAGCAGCGTTCAATCCAAGTGTGGCTCAAAGGATAATATCAAACACATCCCGGGCGGAGGCAGTGTGAGTACCTTCACACTTTCAATGCACTATAATAATTCTTATTATAAGTGGCATGTTGTATACACTAAACTGCCGATGCTATCTGCAGCGCCCTGCCCTCAGATAGCTATTGGTGACGTGCAATGACTCTTTTCTGGCTACCAAAGGTGCAGATTGTTAATAAGAAGTTGGACTTTAGCAGCGTTCAATCCAGGTGTGGCTCAAAGGATAATATCAAACACATCCCGGGCGGAGGCAGTGTGAGTACCTTCACACTTCGAGTGCACTGTAACAGTCTTTACCATGAGTGGCATGTTGTACACACTAAACCTCCAATGCTATCTGCAGCGCCCTGCCTGCCGATAGCTATTGGTGACGTGCTGTCCTGTAACCCCGTAACCCACACGACGTGGTTAGATGAACCCTAACGAGTCCTGTCCGTGGCTTRCATGGACAGAACTAACTGACCCTCCCCTCGTAGACACCGTGTCTGGAACAAAACATCCCGTTAACCCAAAGGTTTTCTGCTGCCTGGAAGGCTTTGTACCTTCCTGTGTGCAGCAGGGATGGCCTCTAACGGACAGTGACGTAGCTGCTGGACAGATTTATGAGCAAATGCAGCTCTTGTTGCTTTATGTCCTGCTGAGCTGCACGTGACGCTGCGCAGGCAAGTGCAGCAATGCAAGTAACAGGCTCCTTGCTAATGAATGTGTCCAGTGTGTGCTACGCAGGGCCCGTGGAGGCTGAAACTAAAGCAATAGTGAGCTAATTGATCCAAACCCAGCCATGTGCAGCCATTCCCAGGTGAGCAGCCAGGCTAAGCACTCAGTTCCCGTGCCAGAAACCTGGAGGAATTCTGCAGGGATTGGTGGAATTACCCCGGCCTCTCCAGAGGCAGAGTTCAGCCCAGGAAGGAGGAGAGGCTACGGCCAGAGCATCACTGAGACCCCGAAGAGCCTGGCCGAGGGACAGGGCCTGTGGTGCTCCAGGCTGTGACCATCTGAGGATGCCACCTGGTTCCCTTCAGATGTTCCCAGTGGATTTTTTTTGTGGTTTTTTTTTGATCTCTGTGGACATCCTATCTGAGAAACTGAGCACTGCAGAGTGCCTGGCAGTTACACACCGGCCTTGCAGCCTCCACCTTACATTTGATGCCATTTTGCTTTCACCTATGGGCCTGAAAAGCCGCTTTGCAGCAGTGTGGGTCTCCATGAAGCAGGTTCCCTGCTCCTGTGGCTGTTTCTCACCCCAGGGTCCTGCAGTGCTTCTCGCCGGACTGCATGGGGGGTCTCGGCACACAGCCTGTTGGGGTGAGCAAATGCTCCCGTGTCCTCTGTCCCGCAGCCTCCGCACAGGACAGAGGCTGCCCCTTCCTCCTCCAGCAGCTCCCGTGGTGCACAAGCATTCCAGCTGCAGGACCTTAAAAATTCCCTGCTATTTTGGCTGGAGGAAGCTCTCCTCCTTCCCCAGGCTCTCCTTGCCAAGCCAGTCGTGACACGGGGAGCAGCACCCGCCTTGGAGTGCGGCTGTCCCAGTCACCAACTGCTGGGGCTCGAGGACATTCGCATCTTAATCCTCTGCCACGATGCCACCCTGCTGCTGCTGGGCAAAGCAGCTGCTGCCCCAGGGACCTGGGGCTGCTTTGGGGGCTTTTGGGGTTTTTTTTTTTTTTTTTTTTTAAATGCCACAGGAGGTATTTTGGGCAAAAATAGACCTACATGCTGTTAATGATGAGAGAGAGCAGCTCCAGGACTCTGGCACCTACTAAAATAGAGTCTTGGCTGTAAAACTAAATAAATACATAGCAATAAAAGGAAGGAGGGCAGAGAGTGTAATCACTGCTGGCTTGCTGTGGAAACGGGCGGCCCTTCAGGTCCCAGATCCTAGCGGTGCCCAGGTCGCTCGTAGCCTGTTGGGGTTAGGATTCGCTGAGCCACGCAGGCCCCTGGTTCAGCTCTCCTGCTGCCAGTTCGTTGTGTGTGAGCTCCCCAGCACCCTGTCACCACGTCTGTCCATGCCTCGTGCTGCTGGATTCCAGGACGTTGTCCCCTGCCTGTGTCCTCACTCTGTGTCCGTTGCTGGGCCCTTGGCTGCACGCGTTCCRGAGCCTGCGGGGCCACGTGCGCGGAGCTCCGTCCCCGTGCTGGGGGGACGGTGACACCGAGCCCGTGCCACAGGCCCAGGGGGTGGCAGGGCCAGCCCTGCAGGAAACAAAGACTTGTGGCCAGGTGCCTGCGCAGGTGTCAGGAATGTGCTGTGCCCTGTGTCCCCGCCGTCACCTCTCCTTGCTGTGCAGCACCAGTGCGGGGCAGCTTCTCCCGGCGGRCACATCCATGGAGCAGCGTCTCGCCGGGAGCCCCGCGGGTCCCTGCGGTGCCGGGGCCGCGGGCAGCTCCGAATGCGAAGGTCTCTCCTTCATGTGCTGGCCCTGCAGGATGCCAGGGCCCTCGGCGTGACGCAGAGCAGCCCTCCGAGCTCGCTCTGCTCCCCAGATCCCGCCTGCTCCTGAGCAATCCCGCTGCTTCCCAGCGAGCGGGAAGCGGCCAGCAGCATCCGCAGGCCCATTCCTCCTGCACAGGCTCCCAGGCTCATTCCTCCTCCCTAGCTGTGAGGCCTAAAGTGGGGTCCAAGGTGACTGTAGGGGCTGCGAGGATGTTTTTCTCCCACCGTGTTCCCTGCTCCCGGTCTTGCCGGTGTGTGTGTGCTGTGCTCCGCAGTCCCGGCATCCTGACGGTCCTGCTCCACCCGTCGCCGTTTTCCAGTGTCGTGTTTAACCGCTGACATAGCCACTAAACAGCCCCCTGTTAATTGTCCCCCGTGTGTGTGTGTGTGTCTCGTGTCACCTGCTCCAGGCGCCRCGGCACCAGGGCTTGGAACAGGGGGGTTCAAGGGGAATTGCTCCTGAGAGCCCTTATTCAGACATGTGCGGTGTAAACCAAACAAAACCAGAGTGTAATACCAGAAAAAAAAAATTGTGATTCACTATATTATAATTGCCATTTAATTTTGTATTATATGAACTCCTGCCAGTTGTTTAGATTTTTCTTTTGGCTTTTTTTTTTTTTTTTAAACCCTTATTTTCATTACAGCATTTTTCAGAAATGCATATTTTGGTCACTCTTCTGAAGTTCTGTGCACATTGATCATTTCTGTTCTTTCAGTTTTTGTGGACATAAGCTTTATGTTTTACACCAGAAAAGGTATTTATTTTTTACATTTTCCTCTCCGGTATATCTCCTCCTTTTGGATGATGTGTATGCAAATCTTAATGACCACTCCACTTTCTCTCTCATTTGAGCACTTTAAAACGGCCTCTGCTCCCTCCCCTCTGCAGAGGGGTGATCTTGTGCATGCTGACGTGTTAGAGGGGCTACTGCAAACGGGCTTAATGCTCTCCCTTTTCCGATGACAGTTTATTAATCTATATTATTAATCTTCCGGGGGTGCGAGCTGTCCTTTCCCTCGAGCGCAGCTCAGGTGCTGGTGTCCGGTCCCGCGCCGGCCTCGCCGCCTCATGGCCCTCTCCTCTCTCCTGCGGACAGGTGCAAATCGTTTACAAGCCGGTCGACCTGAGCCACGTGACGTCCAAATGTGGCTCCCTGGGCAACATCCATCACAAACCAGGTACCGGGACAAGCGGCCGGACACCGGGATGGGGCTTCGCAGGGGGCGAGCGGAGACGCTCGCACGGTGACCCGAGTGTTGGAGCGAGCCCTGGGGAGCAGGTCGCTCTTCCCAGCTCCGTCACTGCGCGAGCGGCTCCTTCCTGGAGACTTAACCCGGGTGGTTAAGGGAAACACCCAGTTTGCTCCACAGCACTCCCGTCCAGGCCAACACATCGCTGTAAATGGAAAATATTTAGGAATATCGGGAGCTGCTGGTGTTTGGGAGGATACTGTGCTGTCTCCTTTGGCAGACTCCTTATTCCAGTGCCCACGTGCCCTGGCTTGTGTGTTCCCACATTGCCCGGGATCCCTCCTGCTGCTCTCTGCCCCATCCAGACCCTCTGCTCAGCTTCTGCCTCGGAGCAGCTGAGACGCGAGCGCTTCCTGCCAGCCAACCCGCTGTGCTCCTCTCTTGCAGGTGGTGGACAGGTGGAGGTGAAATCTGAGAAACTGGACTTCAAAGATAAGGTGCAATCAAAAATTGGGTCATTAGATAACATCAGCCACGTCCCCGGAGGAGGAAATAAAAAGGTAAAGGGGTGCTCAGGCTGGAGCAGATGGGCTGGTCCCCTGTGAGTGCCACCTGCGCTGCGAGCGCGTGGGCAAGGCGTGAGCGAGAGCCGGGCGCAGAGAAAGCCCAGGCTCATCCCTCGCACACGTGTGCCCTGCTCTCTGCCCATCAGGCAGCTTTTCCTCCCAGCCTCGAAACGTTTTGTTGGGGAGGGGCAGCCCACGTGCCCGTGTCCTTATGAGGATGGCAGGCGCCCTGGCTTGGGCGTCCTGGCGCTCCCTGTGCGGCCGGCTCGTGCTCGTGGGCTGCTCAGCCTCTGCCCAAAGAGCTGCCTGCCCTCCTGCCAGCGACGGGTGGCACTGGCAAGGGCTCCCGCCCAAGGGACGTTGGCCCCAGCTAATGCAGCAGAGCTGCCAGGCCCGCAATCCGCCGCCCCTGCAGTTCCCTGCTCTTCTCTGAATTTGGTGCCGAAACAGGTTTGTGTCCCCCAGCCTCCCAATGCAAGGGTGCTGCTCCCCTCGTTTTGCATTGGACATGGCCAGGTACCCCCAGCCGTGTGGCACAAACCTGGCAGCTCAGGGCTGCGCGCCGGCATCGGCTCCGCGGGCAAAGCGAGGCACTAAAGGCTTAGCTTTATTTAGGAGAGGGGACTGTGCAGCAGSCTGGCGTGCAGGGGAAGGCTGAGCTCGTCTTTCTGCCAGTCTCAGGTTCCCAGCTGAGACTAACCAGGGGCYTGGTGCATTCGGGGAGAATTTAATTGAAAAGCAAAAGGCAGTTGGGTAAAGTGAAATCCTGAGCTCGGGGTGAGCTGTTCCTGTGGAGGCTTCGCTGCTGCCTTCGCAGCAAGTCTCAGTCAAGCAAAACACCTCCACAACCTCGATGAAGGAGAGCAGAGCACCTTAGTGGCAGGAGAAATGTGGTAAGCAAAGCACTGAGCCTCCAGCCCGGTACTGATCACCCTGGGCAAAGGGAGCTTCATCCTGCTGGGTTTGCAAACACTTTTTCTGGATGGGAGGGATTCTGTTTCCGCTCCTGTATTCCAGCACTCCGGCCTCTGCTCCGTTCTCTCTTTGCACCTTGTGCTGCCGCCCGGCCCGGGGCTGGCTCTGCCTCAGGGACCGCTTGGCCTCCTTGCCCTTCTCTCGCTGCTGCTCCGCGTGAGCCTGCCCTGTGCTGCCACCGAGCCCATCGCGGCGCCGGCGCCCTCACATCCTGCCGCATTCACTGGGCCGTAGCTTGAAGGACTTGCCCGTTTCAGGAGGGGTTTGTTTGCCAGGCTGGGAGCTGCTGGCAGCGTCCCTGCCTCAGCCTGCCCTGCGCCTCCTGCTTCTGCCCTGCATCCACAACYGGGGGATGCTGTCAGGCTGACTTGACCTCAGGTGCTGCCTCCGTGGCTTGTCCAGTGTGCTCCTGGTTGCCCATTAGTGCCAGGGACCTTCCTTGGGCATCCCTGCTCCAAGCGGACGGTCTGCCCGCCCCCCGCACAGTGCGGCTGCTGCCCCTTCCCCAGCCTTTCCCATGGCCTTAGTCACAGGATCACAGGATGGTTGAGGCTGGAAGGGACCTCTGGAGATCATCTAGTCCCACCCCCTGCTCCTGCACGGACACCCAGAGCACGGGGCAGCACCCAGGCGGGTTTGGAGACCTCCAGAGCAGGAGCCTCCCCGGGCAGCCTGTGCCAGGGCTCACATGGAGCTGGAACTGCCTGGGTTGCAGCTTACACCCATTGCCACGTGTCCTGTCCCTGGCCACCACCGAGGTGCCGGTGAGTCCCTGTTTGGGGACACCGTCTTCCCAGTCCTGCCACCCCCAGAGCTGCAGCTCTGCCAGGCGAGTGCCCGGAGGCCACAAGTCTCTGCGCGGCAGCACCGGGGCAGCCTTCCTCCCTCCTCGAGGGCACTCTCCTTCCTACGATCCAGTGAATCGCCCAATTTTTTCCATCTTTTTCTCCATGATTTTCTCTTCCTTTTTTTCTCCCTCTTTTGGGTGCCCTTTATTGGATGTGGTTTTTGTTGCTGATGCGTTTTTTGCCCCCCCCGCCGCCCCGGGGCGGTTTCTTCACCTGTAGAGAGAGAAGGGCAAGGAAGACAAGAGCTGGCCCCCGAGTCCGGACGCTGCCGGGCGCCCGGCCCCGCGCTCGCCCACCACGGGCACCAGTAAGTAGCCAAACTCCCACACTTGCCCTCGTGCTCAGGAGAGGGATCCGGCTGCCGGGAGCAGCGCGGCCGTCCCCGCCGGGCATCAGGAGGGAGCCGCATGGGCGCCCCGTAAAGCTCGGCCCGCCCTGGCACCAGGGAGGCTCTGCTCCTGCCTCAGCTGCGCCCGTCCCGGCAGGGCGGGAGGTGCCGGAGGCCTGGGGACATGGGGGACATGGGGGACATGGGAGCGGCCTCCGCGCTGAGCGCCCCCGGCTCTCGTTGCAGATCGAGACCCACAAGCTGACGTTCCGCGAGAACGCCAAAGCCAAGACTGACCACGGCGCCGAGATCATCTACAAGTCGCCCACCATCTCGGGCGACGCCTCCCCGCGCCGCCTCAGCAACGTCTCCTCCAGCGGCAGCATCAACCTGGTGGACTCCCCGCAGCTGGCCACGCTAGCCGACGAGGTGTCCGCCTCGCTGGCCAAGCAGGGCTTGTGATGGGGCTGCGGCGAACGCAGGGGCGCCCAGACACGGAAAGAAACGAGAGAAACACAATAATCCGGCCTTCTTCCTCTGTTCCTTTTACAGCTGCTCCCCCATCCCCTAACTGGTTAAGGATTTAACCTGCTTTTACTCTTCATTCAGCTCTAGCTCCAGGACTTCAAAATCAGTGATACTATGAGGTACAAAACCTGCTCCCCGGCCCGCGCCCCCYGGCCCCCGCCGTGCCCGGAGCCGCCCTCGGTGCCGCGGGCGCCTGCCCCTCTGGAAACAGCGTTGGGGTTTCACCTCCCCGGGCCGAGCCGCGTGTGAAGGCAGCGGCCCCCGGAGCCGCCCCTGTCCCGCTGCYGCCGGGCTCGTCCCGTTGGGAAGGGGGCCCCGTGGCTCCGCTGGAGCCGCTGAGTGGATGAGTAGAGGCTTTTCCCGTCCCCTTGGCAGCCCCTCGTGTCGTAGAGTAGAAGTGTCTGTAACTGCTTGGCCCGCGCGCGGGTGTTTCCATAAATGAGCATGTGTTTGACCCCGCTGGGAGCGGCCGCGGGGGCTGCGCGGCGCCGCCGCGGGCCCGGTGCCGCATGTCTGCCGGGCCGGGGCTGCGCAGCCGCTGCCCTGCGCCCGCAGCCCGGGGGCTGCTTCCCCACCTTCCCTGCCCCGCCAAGCAGCCCGAGGTGCCAGGGCCGCTGCTCCCGGCTCCGCTGCGCGCGGGGCAGGACGGGGACGGGGCGCGAGGCCACGGGACGAGGCCGGGGCAGCTCCCCCGGGTACCCTGGGACCCTCCATCCTCCCTCCCCTTCGCCGCCTCCTTTCCCCTCCCTTCCCTTCCCGGGGCCGCAGGGAGGGCCGGGCGCTTCCCGCCCCCCTTCCTTGCGCAGCCCCTGCCGGGGGCAGCGGCGGCGGCTCTGGCTGCAGCCGGGACACGCAGCGGGACCCCCGCCCTGCGCCCCCCGCCCGCCCCACACATCCTGGCCCGCAAAGGGCTGAATCCGGCACTGATTCCGAGCCCCACTTCCCAGCTCACCTGCCTGGGCCGGGAGGAGAGGCCGCAGCCCGGCGCCTCAGCCCAGCTTAGCTTCCCGTCTGTGAATGTCCATCGTGTATCGTGCGTTTTAACAACTGGTTTACACTGTTGCCGTAAAAGTGAATTTGGAAATAAAGTCATTACTACAATAAAAGCCGCTTCCGCTGCATGAGGAGAGGGAAGGCGAACGGGGAGGGCACGCGATGGGAGCTTGGAGCAACCTCCCCCCTCGCGTTTTCCAACACATTCTGGTTGATGCTCCCAGGAAAGACCGCAGATCAGGGAGCAAAATCCTCCCCCTAGCCAGCCTTTCACAAACACACAGCCCGTAACCACCTTCTCTTTTAATGTTTTTTTAATCTTTTTTTTTCTTTTTTTTCTTTTTTTTTTTTATAAGCACATTTGTGCTTCGCCAACAGAATCAAGACATTAACAAAGATCAGCTTCTCGGAAGAAAAGCATTTCTATATAACAAGGACATTACACAGCTCAAAGCAGGAAAAGAAAATATTTACAAAATACAAGGTGTTTTTTGTGGTTTTTATAATGCTAAAAGGGTTATTCAGAATTTTCAACCTTATAAATAGAAAAGCACTTATGCAGAGGGATATGGTAGCATTGTTTTTTCTTTAAAGAAACGATGACAAACCCTTTTAAACTAGAACAGAACCAAAAACACTAGATAATGTTGAAAATTGTGAAAACCCCAACCATTAAGCAGTTTAGCTACTATTTCTTTACGATTACAAAATGGAAAAAAAAAATATGTCCTTTTATTTTTTTTTCCTTTTTTTTTTTTTTTTTTGGTGATGTGATTATACATAAGACAGGCACAATGCTAGCAACAGGACAGGGCCCAAGAGCCGCCCCGTGGGCACGGGAAGCGTCGCGGGGAGGACGGTGCGCGGGACCCGGCAGCCGAGCTGGGCTCGAATGGAAGAGCCCCCGGGCGGGAGCGCGGCCCGGCTGCCGCGCGGCGGCCAGAGCGAAGCGGCGGCGCCAGAGCCCCGTGCGCCCCCAGCCGCGGTCCCCGCCGCAGCCCCCGCGCTCGCTGCTCTTCCCCCTTCCTCTTTTCCTCGCTTTGGAGATCCAACCAACCTAACGAATCCGCCCCAGCACCTCGGCCTGGCTGGGGCCAGGTCCTCCCACCGGAGCTGACGGAGAGGCAGCAGCCGAGGGGCTCCGGCCGGGAGCTGCTGGCGGCCCTGGCCACAAGAGCCCCGGCCGCATYCTTCAGCTCCGCTCCTGCCAGGAGCGCCGGGCTGGCACCTCTCCCCTCCCTGCTCTGCCCGAGAACCGGGGTGGGAGCGGAACCGCTTCCACGATCCCGCTCCTCCGCGCGCACTTCGGAAGGGCCCTGCCTTTTCCCTGAGGGATGGGGAGGCCGGAGCCCGAGAGCTGCTCCGGAAGCGGGAGGCGGCGGCGGACGCCAGCGTCAACCCGCGGGACACCCGGAATCCAACCCGGGGCAGGAGAAGCCCTCGCCCGTGGGGACAGACAGACAAGCTAGTGAAGGTCGCAATCCCAAGACATCACTTTTCACCACTAATTTCACTCCACTAAAACCTTTCAGGGAGGGGAGGGCAGAGGGTTAAGAGAAAAAGACACCCTTTTGCTTGAGAAAATCTATCCCCGAAGTCTGCTAGTCAGCTAAATCCTGTGCTCTAGTTTTATACACCTAAGAGGGAAGGGGAGGACAGGGAGAGGGCCTGGTGGGCTGCTCCCTCCTGAGGCTTCACTCCGCTGGGAGGAATCTGGAGGCTCTCATTTTATGTGACAAGGAAACATGGAAAAAGAAAAAAAAAAAAAACAGAAACAAAAAGAAGAACAGAAAAAAAAAACAGTTTCTAAACTCCTTAAATTCACTAAAAACTGTGAAAATTCCCGGCAGGATGTTTGAATATCAAACGCAGATTTTGGAAGCTTTAATGCCAAGTTAGTTCTGTGTGTTGGTTTTGCTCCTGTCTCGCCGTGCGTCTCTATCTGTGCGCCGGCCGCGGCACCGCGGCAGAGCAGGAGGCAGAGGGGGCGGCCAGCGGGTGCCGGCTCTTGAGGGCGGCTGTGGTGCACGAGGCTGAGGGGCCCTCGGGCTCCCGGGAGGATTTGCTGCCCGACGTGCGGCGGGTGCAGCGCGACGACCGGTCCTGGGGGTCACATTGGTCCTCGCACTCTGTCCTGGGATCGTACGGCAGCGGGAAGGTGCGTCGCTCCCAGGGCTGCACGGCCTAAAGGGAAGAGACACGGAGCTACGGGAGGTCCCCTGGGAAGGGTCCTCCGCTCCCCTGCGGGTGGCAGCGGCCAGAGCAGGACGAGGCGACGCTGCCGCCCTCGCGCCAGCACCCGGCACCCACCTGCTCGTCGAGGCCGGCCTCRGGCGTGGAGCAGCGGGTGTCCTCGCTGGACAGGAGCCGCACGTCCCGCGACAGGGGCGTGAGGGGCGCGGAGAGCAGCTCGGGGCTGATGGGGCTGCGCGGGGAATACGTGTGCGCGAGCTCCGCGGGCGCGGGGCAGCCGCCCACGTCCGGGGACGCCGGCTGCGGCGTTGAGGGGTTCCCCAGCTGAGGGGTCGTCCGTCCGTCCGTTGATCTGTAAGACCTGAGAGGGGAAGACGCTCAGGAGGCGGCGGCACCGCAGGGGGCACCCGCCTGGCAGGTGGCGTCGCTGCCACCGTCCCCCTGGCAGCGCCCACTCCAGGCATCAGCACCCATGAAACCAGACACCTGAACAGGTTCTCCGGGCGTCTGCATCATCCACGTGATGCCTTGAAGCTCGTGCACAGCACTGATAACAGTGAGTTCAACAACTGGGTGCAGGAGGAGCACAGCAAAACCCCGGGACTTGAGAAAATTTGAAGCCACTACTAAGAAAACTTGAGTATCYCATCCAGGTTTGCAGATGACAGGCCCACAGACCCCCAACAGAAAAGCCTGAAAGAAATCCCTACATTTCTCTCTTCAAGAGGAGCTTCAGTGGCAAGTAGGAATCAAGAACTGCCGAAGATCACRTTCCAAAATCTGCCTGGGCCTAAATGTTCATCAGAACACGGAAATCCAGTCAAGATCAGAGTAATAAAACAGCAGCGCCTACAGCAGGCTGCATGTAGGCGCAATGTGTGGAGTTAAGCAGCAATGCTACAATTGTCACRGGACAAGAAACCACTGCTGGGGATGTAAGAGGCAGGAGGAACCTATGGGGACCAGCAGATCTTCTGAAGCAGGTGAGTGAACGGAAGGCACCACAGAGAAACCGAGTGGACCCCAGGCTCTCCTGGTGCCGCTGGGATGAAGCTTCAATTCACCTTGACGACCGAGCCRGGCCCTGCCTGCAGCATCTTCCAACTGCCACCAACTTCCTTACGGGAGATCTTTAAAGAAATGCACTAAAATACCACTGGATGTAGGAATCTGGTGAAAACACCAAAATGGTCTTTTCTGGAGCAGCTTCAAGAAATCTCCTTGTATGGACTGAAGGAACTTGAAAGAATTGGGAATTTGTGCCACTGAAACCACCAAGACAACAGCAGATGACCTGGAGTTTACAAATGCTGGCTTTGCATTTGTGAAAGCTCTTGCAGAAAGCCTGCGCTATCCCAACACACCTGCCTGGGCCTAGACTGACCACAATTCAAGTCGGGTGCCTAATTCACATGGAGTTGGGCAAGAACTTGTGCACAGTGCAGAACAGTTCCAGGAAAAGAGAAAAAAACTATCAGAAACCAAGGGAGAAACAGGAGGGAACCTCTTCTTAGGCAGCTTTATGAAGTGAACAGCTGGAAACTGTGCAGTTCTAGATATCCACTCGCAAAGAGATGCAGGAGAAATAGGATCAAGTGTCAAGCGCTATGAGGAACTGAAGATGGAGCTGAGAAAAGGACTTTGCTGCAGCAGTCAAGCAGAGCTGGATACAGAGGGTAAGTTGAAGAGGAGCTGCTGGTTCCTTTCCTGCRTTAAGGACACCCTGCTCGGCTCCCGTGTGCCGACTGCAGAAGCCCGAGGGAAACAAACGCCCTGACGCTGCTGCCACAGTGAAGGTGCCCGAGAAAGGAGACTCCCAGGTGCTGTCCAGGGGCTGGTTGTGTCTAAGCAACTCGCAGGGCGGGCTGCACAGCAGCTCCTACCAGCCTGCAGAGCTGCTCCTGCGCATGGGCTCGGAGAGGCTCTTGCAGGTTGTGCCTGAATCTTGGGCTGCCCACACTCCGCTGATCCTTTAGGAACCGCATCCCCCGGTGCCAAGAGCTGCCCGGGAGCCTCCTGGCRCCCCGGCCGAGGTGTCCCAAGGGCCGCTGCCCTGGAGCCCTACCTGCTGCCGCGCCGCTGGGGCGGCACGCTGGTGCTCCACAGCCACCGCGCCCGCTCCATCTCCTCGCACTTGCTGTGCCGGGCGGCGAAGGCCGCGTCGGACAGGTCCTCCACCTGCAAAGGCAACGGGACAGGGCTCAGTCACCTCTTTTTACACTGGACACACACCGGCGCGCAGGTTTACCAGCGTGATAACAAGATGAATTTGAATAAACATTTAAAGCGCTGCGGGAAAACACTGTTAAACTGAGTTGGAAATACTTAGGAAGAGCCTAAAAACTAACACTGAAAGACAGTCACTAGGACTGTTCATAGGCAGATTTAAGGAAGCCTTAAACCATTCAGTTAAGGAAACCATTAACCTTAAACCATTCAGCTTGTCTGACACAGCAACTCCAGCAGTGCCACTCTTGTGCTCTCTTGATTCGACTCTCCTGGTCTCCATTAAAGACAGCCAGCTAGAAAAGGCCCGTGCCAGGAGTGCAGCGTCTCTCCAAGTGCCACCAGGGCCACCCCAAGCTGCATCCCCCCATCCAGCCTTACCTCCTCGCTGTCTTCATCAGGGTTGGCCTTCAAAGCGCTGATGTCGACTTCGCGCCAGCTGAAACACATGGGGTTTGGGTCAGTCAGCACCATGCGCATCACAACACGCAACACACCCTGCACACAGCAACGTGCCTCTTCATCAAGGGAAAAAGAAATTTCAAGGGGTGTTGCTGCAAGAGACGTGTTTAGGCTCTGTTTTTAAGGCACATTTGTCTACCTAAAWACTGCCCTGGGGTCTCAGGGAACGCTTTGCTTCCTGTGCCACCCTGCTCCACTTCGAGCAGATCTTTACACAGAAGCAGAGAATGGGTGCAGAAAAAAAAACGAGCAACTGATCTGGGTGTCAACCCAAAAACACCCGGAACAGGGTCTGGCACCTCCTTGGACCTGGCTTGAGCAAGAAACCTCAAACCTCCCCACTCCCTCCACCAGGCCCAGGCGCCTCTCTCCTATCCACAGCACCAAGGACAAGTGCCCTTCTCTGGCATCGTGACATGAACTTGGTCTGGACACGGGTGACACAGCCCAGGCACGTGCGGAACTGGGAAGGTCCCCAGGACTTTTGGCTCAAGGTGCTCGGCAGCTTCGGAATGGAGCAGAGGACAAGCAGCCTGGCTGCAGACTGCGTAAGCAGAGCTTAAATGACACAGTTCTCCAAAAAATGGAAAACTTCTTCCTTTCAAGGAATAACAAAGTCCCTCTCCTCACCAGTTTGGGCCACAGGGAGCAAAGCCCCAGGCCGGATGAATTTCCGACTGGGCAAATCCCCAGGCAAAGCTTGGCAAGCCACAACCCCTCTGGAGCCAGGCCTATCCACGCACCTGGGTGTGAGGATCTCTTTATACTGCAGCTTCTCGACGCGAGTTGTTGCGGCGACAGACATCGGGATGACGATATTATTGATGTCAAAGGAGCTTTCGCCTCTCCTCCTCCTYGGCTGCTGTAAAACAAAGCCCAGAACAAGATGAGACCCGTCAGGCAGCCCGCACAGCAACCCCAGCAAATCGGGTCCCCTCTCATTTACCATCTTATCCCTCTCTTCCAGTCACCAAAGCTGTGAAAACCCGACCGCAAGGGAGCTGCTCCGGCCAAGCGGAGCCAAGCGGTGGCACCGGGACGGAGTGGGCCAGTCGCCACGGCCACGACACCCAACACGTGGTCACTGTCACACATCACTGTGAGCGCGAGGCGGGAGCCAAGCATCCGCCAGGGCTGCACCGGCATGCTCCAACCTGGCACTGGGCTCTCGAGGCCAGGGACCCGAGACGGAGAGGACCATGCAGGGACCCTGATGGAGAGGACCTCCAGGCATCCTCCCGACACCCAGACAGGCTGGGGCTCGGTGTTGTGATGATGAAAAGGGACCTGAGAAGGTCCCTTTTCCCTCAGTTCTGCCCCCCTTCCAAACCTATCCTCTGATCCAAGAGACAGCCGAGATCCTTCCCCTTATCACATCTCAAGGTAGCAGGTGCTGGTAGGTCTCAAGGCAGTCGTGTTCCTGCATCACACTGAGCTCCACCTGCTTTAGGTGAGGAGACTTTGCTCGGTTTCCTTAAATCAAATTTGGACTGGATTCAGTGCTACTCTGTCCAACAGAACGAGTAGCAAGAACGTCCTGTAAGGATCATTATTTCCAAAGCAAAATCTACTGGGGAGCCACAGCCGACCACAATAAAGACACTAAGATGACAAAAATAGTTACTGCAAGACAAGTCATGGAGCAGGACACTCCGAAGTCTCCTCTTGGGCACATTCACCTCCCGGAATTATCCCACAGCTTATTCCATCTCCTCCAAAAGACACATTTGGTGGTACTAGTTTTATGGCAAGAGTGTGCACATTAGCTGCAAAACCACCAAAATCGGACCCAAACTTTAGCCTGTCTTACACTCACACATATGCAAAGACTGCTGGGCTTTTGGAACAGCACAAAATGCTTTTTAGGACCAGGACAGGCCACTGAATCTTTTTAGCAGATTTGCTTGTTGTATTTTCACAATTACCATTCCTATGAGATCAATTGGAGAAGTTCATACCTCAAAGCTGCAGCCTCAGGCTGTCTGCAGACTCCAGAAAACCATTTATTCTTGGTTCAAAATGAACAGGCACAACCACGAAAATCAAGAAACTCCTACTTTTTCTGACCAAAAATGTAGATTGTGCCAGTAAGAAAAGCCAAGAAAAGTCTCCCAAAGAGAGTGAAGGAAGTTGGAAAGCATCTTGCAGGCTGCAGTCTGTGAAGGATATGCGAAGTCCAGGCAGGCAGTGATGGGGATGGAGCAGCACGACCCGGGGACTACTCCTTTGCCCTCATGTGGTCATCTCGGAGCACAGGAGAACATTATTTCCATGTGATGCTGCTTGCTACAGCTCACTGGTGGATCAAATACTGCTCAAGAGCCTTGCTGCTTAGAATGGGCTTGCCAAAGAGCAGCTCTCGACGTGCTCAGCTGCAGAGAAGGGATTTCTCTCTCCCACAAAACACCTCCCACATCTTAGCCAGGTAACTAACTCTGCTCGGGTGCTCTGGGAACCCCACACAGTCCAAAGAATCTCCCTGCTGTGACATCACTGTGATGGATCTCACCGGGAACACCTGGAATGTGGCAGCTCCAGAGCAGATGTTGGGCAAAGCAGCCACATCGCTCAATCCATCCCAGAGCCCAGCAGAAGGGAGTTATTCTCCTGCCCAGCAGCGACTTTTAGAGGTAGCTCCATAAGAGGTTCCAAACTCTGTCAACCTTTAATACCCTGGGAGGCTGAGGGTGTCTCAGAAGCTGCTGCTAGTTAAAAAAAAAAAATATTGAAGCTTGAGGACAGGTGACAAATATGTTGTCATTCAGCACTAACCCACCACAGCCCTGTGGCTCAGTCGCCAACCTCATGTACCCATATACAGAAAAGGCCACCGAGGTCATCAGGTGACAGACACCTCCGTGGAAGCACTATCATGTTCACAGCAGCCCAAATGTGAGGCAAGGCCGGGGGACCTCTCCAAACAGGAGCACTGACCAGCAGCTCCTGAACTGACAGGCCAAACAGACAACCCAGACACCCCAGCAGACCTCACAAGAGCAGAAAAAGGCCACCAAGTCCATCACCTGTTGAGACAACAGGTCCAGCACGGGCAAGAGAAACACCGAGCATTCCCAAGCCTTGCTGCCTGGACTGCCCCAAAGCTGAGAGCTCCCCGCAGCCCCCGTGGTGGAGCTGAGCTGCGAGGCTCTCCAGAAGGGCTCTGGATACTTACAGCTGTGTTGGAGGGGCCCTGTGAACTCGTACTGGCAGAGGCAGAGCTTTCCGAGGACAGTTGTCGTGCTACAGGGCTATGGGGCGTGGGGGTCGCAGCTGCTGACAAGTAGCTCGGGCCGCCGATGTCTGCGTGATGCTTCAACACTGTCCAAGGAGGGGAGGAGAAAAGAAAAGAGCAACGTCAGCAAAAAGAGACCACGTGTGCCAGAAACGGCCAGCGCTGAGGACCACTCTGCGTGAAAGAGAAGCATCTTCTACCTGCAGCAGCTGTCAGCTGGTCAGGCCCTGCGGGAAGAAGCAGTTAGAGCGCACAAGGCCTCGCTGCAGCGGGGACGAGGCCCAGAAGCAGCGCGTTCCCACTGCTCCACGGCTGCAGGAGGAGAGAGGCTGGATATGCAGCAAAGCCCAAGCTCCCCCCGAGAGACCTGGCCGTGGGAGCCTACCTTCACTCCTCTCAGATGAGCAGTCTCGCAATCGCTTTTTGTCATAGGCAGGAGGCTGGACAAGCGAGCGCTCTGGCGCTCTCTCGGCCTTGGACACGGCCGTAAAATCGTCTAAGGGTGGCCTGTGTGCCTTGTCTGGTTGGATTTTTTGATGTGAGCGCTCTGAGGAGGGGAACAGAGAAAGAGCTATGAAACGCCTGTTTTCACCTCTCTTTCTGTCGGCACAGGAGGCTCGGGCAGAATTGATCAGCTCCATCTATCCAGACAGGTCAGGCTCAACACCATCGTAGCACTGGACAGATGCAGGCAGTCCAAAACAAGCTGCAGCACTGCCCATGCTAGGAGAACAGTATGAGCACTGGCTCAGACTGAGCAGGACGAGGTCCCTAGGAACTGAGACAAGGCCTGGGCTTCACAACCTGCATGCGYTTTACCTTCAGCCTCGGCCTTGTGATACCCCAGCATTTCATCCTCTCTCCTCCAGACTGCACTGCTTTAAGGTAAAAAACTAGTCAACGTTTCTACGCCCAAGGTAGAAACAGGACTTACTGGCTGCAGTGAAGAATGAGTTCACCAGCTTGTGACGATCCTTGCGAGCAGGGTCAGACAGGCTGCTGGTCGCCATGGGGGCTCTGTGCTTGAGCGAGAGCTTTTTGGGAGCTTTAATTTTCTCATAGGGTTTGTTCTGCCACTGTGATTTCAACATGCTCTGGAAGTGGAGGCTTGTCGGCACATCTGCAGGAAGATATCGACATTCAAATTCACTAAATTACACACCAAAAAACAGTGGTACCACAATCACCTCCCTGTTCCCCAGTAAGAGCAGCCCTCAACAAAGGTAGGAGACAGTTACCCTGAAAGTTAAGCCTGCTACCCTCCTGCTCAGGGGTAACCTGCAGCTTTAGAAACCAGTTCTTGGACACCACAAGTTAAGGAGCACAGCAATTTCCATGTGTCCTCAGGACGCGCCTAGATCCTGTCCTTGGGCCCCTGTCCCTTCTCACACAYTCCTGCAGTGCCCGTTCCTCTTGAATCCTCCTCCAGGCGCTCTTCACAGTTAGCACAGGGATGCTRTTCTGCTGTGATGTTCAGCAGATGTTACCTTTGCCCACACTCCCCAAGCTGCAGTTCCTCCAAGTGCTGTCGTCCTCTGCCCTCCTGCCTTCAACAGAAAGCTGGAACGCTAAGGAGATTATTCAGTGGTTTTTCTTGATAGCTTACCCTATAGCTTAGCCTGTGACAACCATTAACTGGACCAGCAAACTACTTTAGCCTCTGAAGTCCCACAAAGCTTTCCTTTCGTGCTCATAGCCTTAAACTTCAGGTTTGWCCATGAAATGCTGCTGTAGAAGTCTCATCCCGGACCTGTGTTACGCCTCTGGGGGTCAAATCCCAGCTCACAGAAATAATGAAAACCTTCAGGGTTAACAGGAGAACTACTGAGACACCAGCTTCCCTTCTCCAGCTGCAGGGAAAATGTTTACCCCAAAGAGCCCCATGCACCAGGCTGCACTGGTAGGAGGTCCCATCTACCAGCTAAACAGAGCCTCCTGCAAGCTCCAACTGTCACCTYGACTGGGAGCTGAAAGCAGCAAGAGCCACCCAGCTACAACCAGGGAGATCCCTCTCCTCTGAGCTCACAGGACGTTTTCACCAGGCTTTGATGCGACTCTGCTTGGAGAGGAACCCTCCCAGGCCCTACCTGGAGATAAAGCTCTTTCCAAGACCCATGCTTGCTGGGGGAATGTCAAGGCGGCTGCAAACTGCCGAGGGATTGASAAACTGTATCTAGCTAATCTCGGAGAACAACCTGAGAAGCTTTTTTGAGTCCTATGAGGAGTCTCAGCTACTGATATCTGAACACCTTCAAAACTTCCCACCAATTCCAGGGAGTGGGAAAGCCCCAGCAGAGCCAGGAMAGGCAAAGAGGGCAGGGCCTGCTGGCTGAGCACAGGCAGGAGGCTGATGTTACTAATGGTGGGAGCTTCAAGCCCAGGAAGAAGCCTAGAGAGCTGCAGGGAGAGTGTCTGGACAGCGCTCTGGCTTAGCCCAGTGCAGGGCAGATGGCAGCACGACAGCAGCTCTTCAGGCACCACTCCTGCTCTGCTGGCACATGGCCAAGAAGGTCCACCGTGGTCCTTTTGCCATGCAGCTAACAAGGCTGCAGCACTGGGATACTGCTGTGATCTGGCTTTCTGAATACCACCTCAGTTCTCTGCTCATCTTTGCCTTCTACAGAAACTACAGAAAAATACAGAAAATACCCTGTCCACAGCAGCCCACACATGTGCTGAAGAAGAGGCCACACTGAAGAGAGAGGGGAGAAAAGAAACACAAGACAACTGATTTCCTGAGAATATCTTCTGTTTCCTTCACCATCCTGTCAGCATCGCTTGCACCAGAGGCTGCACATGCAAGCGACACCATCACTTCTCCTCTTCCTCCTCCTCCTCCTCCTCCTCCTCCCTGGGTGCTGCAGGTCTCCCGAGGACCGGCAGATGGCAATCGCACTGAGCCGGAGCGCCCCAGCGCCCAGCCTTCCTCCCAAGGTTATTGCATCATCTGCAAACTCCTGCCTAGAAATCGGATGAAAAGCTGAAAGGAAGGGAACAAAGCGCTTCGTGAAGCACAAATGCAGCGGCCTGAAAGCCACAACACCCACTGGCCAGAGGAAGAAATGATCTTTTTCCTCCTGGGATGCCTGGCAATTTTGTCCTTGGCAAAATGGACCAGAGATCCCTGTCTCCTGGTGCCGAAGGCGCCCAAGACAGATGGACCCAAAGCAAAAGTCAGCACATGCTCACAGCTCTACTTCCTCTACCACATTTATACAGAACTATACAGAAATTATACATATCTCCAGGAAGCCCCAGTAGAACCTCTGCCCACCAACCCAACCAATTCGCATCRTTTTGGTGGCTTCAAAGCTGGTTTCAAAACCACGATTTTTCATCTCGTGCAGATCCTTGAAGACATTCACTGGCTGTAGTTGACCTAAGCACAAGGCATCCAAAGTGCTGGATGAGGTTCTTGGCCTGCTGCATGATTAACTGCACATGTAGCAGGTTTCTTCTCCACTGCTTCCTGCAATATTAATTTAAGACTGCCGACAGAAGATGATAATCACTGTGAAATCAGGAAATGACACACTGAGCTCCTGAGGAGGAAATTTAAGCTCCTTTAGCACTCATTAACACAGCTTAGGTGAAGAGGTAGACTTTGCTTTTAAAATAGCACTAAATTTACTAGTTTCAGTCTGCTTTAACATACTGCTGGTGAAGGAAGTATTTTTACCAACRGAGGAAAGAAACGATGGATGGACACCAAACTGATCTCATGCACACCAATCATTTTTGGTCAAAGATGAGGCTTGTTTTTAAATTAGCGCTTAGGAAGCAAAAAATACTGGAAATTACTGTCCCCATGCCCTTGCGAAAGTTCCCTATCTWCTAAGTCTAGGAGTGTCCCACAGAACAGGGTGGGTTAGTTACTGCTTTTAGCGATGACTGACCTTGAAAGCCTACCACAGGGAAAKGAAGGTCCTACTGGAAGCATCTCTTCTTCCTGCGCCCGCTGATCTACATATGGTCATTTACAAACCACACAAGTTTTCCAGAACCTRAACCAGTCCACAAGTGATTCTGCACAAATAAACCAACTCTGTGGAACCAACTATTTGGAACTAACCATACTAAATTTACTATACTATTTGGAATTAAATAAACTAACTATGTGGAAACAACGGGTTTGGGACAGCGCAGACGGCAGGGACGTCGCTTTCCCTCAAGGGGACATTTACTCCTCTAAAGGTCACRCTCCTCCAACCATTGGCAGAAGGATGAATCTGTTCATAGAGACTGAATTGAGCAGATCTGCACTTCCCTTGGATGCTGATCAAAGACAGATGCGCCGGTTTGGAGGAGCAGGCTCCAACRCGTGCCCGAGTACCGTAGATCCTTAGCATCCATCCCCAGATGCAGTTCTGCAAGCTGCCCTTGCAGCTCTGCGAGCGAGGCGGCGCTTACTCACCATCAGGGAATGAGAGGACAGGGTGAATACACGAGTCCAGCTGGGAGAGCCGCTCCAGCAAAGGGGCATCGTACTGGATTTCCAGGGTTGTGGAGCTCCGCGTGCCGCACAGGGCGCAGGAAGGGTTCACGTCGCAGCTACATCGTGCCAGGCTATTACGATGGATCTGCCAAGGGGAGAAAAATTCCAGGGTATCAGAGGTCAGCAGGTCTCAGGGCTCTCCTCATACATTTCTGAGGGTTCTTCAGAAAAATCGGGATTTTTTTTTTTTTTTTTAATATCATTAATCATATTGATTTAGTCATTATTATTAATCAAACTGATTTAGTCTGGACTCAAAACAGGATGCTTTCTGCACCGAAAAAACAATTGAGGACTAGTCCTCACCAGCACAAACATGATGGAACACCTACAAAATTTGACTAAAAACATATATTTTACCCAGACTGAAGACTTCATTTTAAAAACCATGGGGCAGCACAATTCAGTTCTCAGAGAGGAGAAAAGCTCCTCTCTAGTTCAGACAAGTCTGAGAGCTATCACTGTGCCAAGGCCTGACACTTACTGGGACGTCTTTGCACACTGAAAATGGGTGTTTTTCAATCTTGTGTTTTTCTTTTAAAGCAAGAGATAGGACTTTCAATTCACAGGTTTATAGACCATTTTTTACGCACTTCCTTTTTTTTTTTTTTTAATAAATAGAAAACGATGGTAGTGCAGATGCACAACCTGGTGTAAAAACTGTACGAGACAGTTAACCAATTGTCAAAATGGAAGGATATATTGAACTGGATCCTCTAAAAGTCTGTTTTAAACCTAGTATTATTTCCCTTAACAACTTTAAGACGTTATCTCTTCCCTCATTCAAGCCTGCAGATAACACCAGAGCAGGGAAGGGTTGTGAGCACCCTGAAGGAAAAGGTACAGATCCCAGTTATTGTTACAAATCACACACAAAAAAAGATCTAAAATAACCCAAACCTAATTCAGTAAAGGCAAATGCAACAAGCTGCATGTTGGCAGACACACTTTGGTGACTGGTGAAGGAGGGGGAAGAGCTAAGTGAGCAGCAGCTCTGCATAGAGGATCTGGTGGTTGGTATGGAGCAGAAAAGGAGAATGAATCAGCAGTGTCACACTATTACTGAGAATTAATGCCCCAGAGGGCTTTATAAACAGGATGGCTCTGCAAGACACATGAGGTAATCGTAATCTTCCAGCCTGCTTAGTGTTAGTCATGGGTAAGCTGGAGGGCTGCACCCACTTTTGGCTGCGCGTTTCAAGAAATATATGGACCGAATGGGGGAGAATGCAGAGGAAAGCAAGAAATAACAAGTTCCAGGAAACCTGACTATGGAAAAACGGAAAGATCTGCGTTTGCTTAGGGTAGGGACGACCCATTTAGGACTTATCACATTAACTTCCAAAATATGGAGAGAGCTATAGGGAGGAGGAATGGAGGTAATCAAATTATACCAGGACTTGGACCACTGGGAAAAGACTTCAAATGACAAGGAAAGGCAGCTTGTACTAACAACTTTGGTTTGCTTGGTTTTGCTCTCTGAGAACAAGACTAGTAAGCACTGAAAGAGCTTGCCTAGGAGGTTCAGACAGACGCCTGGCACAGGGCAGGGACAAAGCAGTGTGCTTTGGGGCACAGGGAGGCTGTTGATGACCACAGGTCCCAGCCTGTCGCASAAGATTAGACATCTTGTCCCGACTTAAATCAATTTGAATGAGACTGTATTCATGTTTGGCGAACACTACAGAGTTACGGGTGATGTCTRTTGAAGCAGGTGTGCTATCTGGCTCCCTCTTTTGGAGCTACTTCTGATCTCTCTCTGATTTTTTAACAGATTTCACGAAGACAAGCAAGAGCTAAGAGACAATCAGCAGCCCCTTTCTCAAACAGTGCACAAGTCAGCMCCAGCTAGGGGATATTTCCTCATCTTCCAAATCACTGATGCTCTTGCAAGCGCTCACTGCGGAGCTCAACTGGAAATACCCCAATTAACTCCTTTCCCTTTACAGTTCTGAACTAACTCAGCTGAGCGAGAATCTATCTTGCTGATCAACACGTTGCTTTCAGGGCATCTCCCTAAAGCTCGTGCGCTGGCAGCCTAACCCCACCCCTGGGCAGTCTTTCTTTGAGCAAGTAGCAGCAAGTTCCTGGGTCTGTGTTACCCTATTGCTCCAAGAATATTGCCTTTCATACTTGACTTTCCAAAGTTTTACTCAGTCTGCTCAGATTTGACCAAACTGAAGTATTCAGGAAGATGCTCCGGGTGACTGGTTTTAAAAAAAGAAATTCCCCTGTCTCCTAACTCAGCATCTTCCCTCCACAGCGATAACTGACTGAAGTATTCCCAACAGATTAAAAGCTTCTCCTTCACTTGTCCAACAGCCCGTGAAACTTCACAGGTCTCTTCTTTCCACTTTATTTTTTTTAATTTAAAAAAAGAAAAACGAAGCAAAGCCTGAGTCATTCTCTTTATTGCCACAAACCTTCTCAAAGCAAGGGGACCACTATGTGCAAAGAGTAAAAGCACTGGATTAACATGTCAGTAAGGCTGCAAGGTGTGGAGCTTTTGAAATAGCAAAGAAAAACCATCAAAAGAGAAAAAAAAAGAGACACAASAGTACCAACCTTTTTGGACAGAGGCATAATGCTGCTGGGTCGAACAAGCCGTCGCTTCTTACAGCTCAGGACGGGGCGCGTGCGAGCTGCTACGCATGTCCCGTCAAAAGACGAGGAAACCAGGTTCAGTCGTTGCTTTTTATGCAAGAGCTCCTCAGCTTCCGGGCCGTCTCCCTGAGTATGTTCTGCCAAGCCAGACTGAAGACTGCCCAAGAAGAGAAGAGGTTAAGAAAGATGCTTTTGTTCATTCAGCCACCCTATTTTACCCACCAATACCAGTTTCCCAATTCAGAAAAACTCTGAGCAGTGAAATTAAAAGCATTACAGTTTCACCAGGAAACAGGGTTGATTAAGCCAGCTCTAATGCTGGTTTTATTTTTGGTCAGTTTCCACATGCTCTCCCATCTCTCAAGACCCTGTTTAGCCTAACTCTTGCCCTGAAGAGCTTTGATCCTAAAATTCAGCCTCCTCAAAACAACACACCACGTACCCTAGATGCCAACTCGAGTCTGATTAACACTCAGGTCGCACAACGTTCACGCTAACCTTCCTGCTTTATACAGGATGAGATTTCCTGTCCGTAAGCACTAACCCTGCCCCACTGCGCTATCGATGCACTTTGCCAGCTACTAAATCCCAGCACAGCTCCCCAGCCAGCGCCTTTTCATGTATATTTTACAAGTGTTTCATATCTAAAAATGCAAAGCATGAAAGCCCTGTGGTCTAAGGCTCTCTAGTTCAAGGGCTACAGGCTCTGGCAGAGCCCGCAGTGTTTCAGCTGCTGCAGTGGTGCTTTCTGTGCTCATTCCCCCTGCATCGCTGCAGCATCGCAGCAGACGCAGACAGCCTGGCAACAGTTCACCAGCCACCACCAGAACTTCAAGGCACTCGGTGTGAAAGGTCTGTGAGTTGTTTTGCTCTGAAACCCTGCACTGCAGGAAAATTTCTCACTTTTTTTTTTTATTCATTCACTTCAAACAAACAAACAAACAAACAAAATCTTGTCCAACTGAAACAACCTGGAGGAACAAATAAATTACAGAAACTTATTCCTGCTGAAATCAATGGGATCTAGGGTCCTCAGCATCTCTGGAGAAGTGGTGCAGTGGTTACAGATATTTTATAAAATAATTGCAAGCAGTCTTCTGGTACCTTTGAATCATACAATTTGCAAGTCTATTAAAAATACTTGTGAAGAAATGGTCATTCCATGGTGTCCTGCAAAGCTTGTTCATGTAAATAAAATTTAGTTTAGCACCATTTTCAGAAAAATAATGCAGCACAAAACCTCATGCAAATAGTCTCCTCCAAGACAGAAGCTTCCAGCTTCTGCTACTGAAACCAGCAGTRGCATCTACTTTTTCAGAAAGAAATCATTTTAACAGTTACCAATTCAGTTATTACCAACCAGCATGATATGCAAGAACCTTACGTGTTAATAACTCCATTGACGGGTCTCGGTGCTCCGCAGGGCTTGGCAGGATGGGATTCAGGAATATTTGCAGCAGAAACGCCCAGGTTCTCCAATGGCTGGGATCCAGAAACACCCYAAGGAAAGATGAGAAAGATCAATCACAAATAAGCTTCCTGACCAGACACAACTTCCTCATCCCCAGTTTCCAGGTGAGGATTCTGCACCAGAGCTATGGGTTTCCACATGCAACTTCTAATCATGGGTTCAGAAGTCAGTGGGGAAAAAGGGGACTGGAGGGGTGAGTGCTTCAGAGCCAGCAGCTCTGGCAAGTGGATGGATCCACAAAGKGTTTTGACACCTAATTTCAGTTCCCCTCAGGTAGCTGCTCCCTCAGTATGAAACATGCAGCTGCCAACAACAAAGCAAACTGAGCAGGGAGGCCTCGAAGGAGATTTTAGCTTTAATAGTGCCAAGAAGCTCAAAGCCACCCGTGATCCTTGCMGGCTGCTTTTCAAGTTTGATGCTCCATGCTATGCACGTGAGCTTCGCAGCCACATGGTCCAAGCCCTTTGGGGGAAACGGGAGGGAAGGGAGYGGAGAATTGACCTGCAAAGTTGAATTTGCATTTGAAACAAGGCCTAAGTAACCTGTGCAAACATGGTCCAAATAGGACTTTTTTCAGGTATTTTTAATCAGTATTTGGGAAACTTGTGGGGKTTTTTTTTTGCATCTAAACAAGGCAATCCTGTAAATCCAAAGCTGTTTCATAGAAAGCATTTGCTGGAAAGACCTTTCTCAGGGAAAAATAAACAAAATCTAAGCTAAAGAACTATATTCCTCTCTTCCCTTCAGTCTGAAATGTAGACCAACCTCCTTGTTCCCTGGTGAGGGACAGCGTCTCTGGGACTAAATTTCATTTCTTCCTCCAACCCTCTCTTTGCAGCACTTCCTACCTCCACTGCCAAGGCCTCTCTAGCTGGACCTCTCCCTGCTTGCGATGCATTTCAAGCACTGGCTAAAAGGACAGAAACAAAAGTACGACTATGAGCTATTTGGGAGCCCGTCAGTCAGTCCCTTTTGTCACATACTCCCGCTCCAAAGCTCGGGCACGCTGTAAGATGGAGCTATCATCACTTGCCAGGCTCTCAACAAGCAAAAACTCAGGCCGCAGCAGCGCGGGACTAACTGTTTCCAGGAGCATGAGCCAGGTCCGGGCTCAGGGAAAGGCAGTTCATGACAATACGGAGAATTTCTGCCTGTTGCTGTTTGAGGAACCCCACTGGCTCCTCTGCTTCTGCTGGGGAGATGGTTTCTCCCAAAGGGAAGYGGAGACGGGGCTGAGCTGTGGGGTATTTGGGAGCAAACGCTGCGGGTGAGGGAGCGCTGCAGGAGGCTGAACCCTGACGAAGCAAAGTCAGCGCGYGGGCTGCCCGTTTTCCCTCTGCTTTTTGGCAAGCTCGGCAATCACATGCTGGCTCCTTTGGAGGCACGCACGGTTCAGGAGGGCGGTCCGCATGACTCATAAGCTCTTTTGAAACGGGGTATTTATTTGCTTCTCCAGCAAGAGGAGGAATTGCTTCTCCAGGAACTCGGGCTCGATTGTTCAAGCCGGGAACCTGGGACGACCTCCCCTCCTTCCCGAGGAGGAGCTGGAAAACGTCAGTGCAAAGCTGCTTTTATCAGAGGCGTTCCAGGCTCATCCAAACACTCCGGAGAGGGATAGTTCCTAACGGGATGGATAAGCAGGATGCCAACTACTGCACGTTTTGGGTGCATTTAGAGTCTCGAAGTCCAGGTCTTTATGATCTCCAGACTTTTAAAGGAGATAAGGCTCAGGTCAGGACTCAGCACCGGGAAGGCCTCTACGGAGTCTTGTGCAGAATTTCTCTCTTCATCAAACCCCTAAACGCAAAGTCCGACCAAGCAGCATCACCAACAGCTTCTCTCGTCTATTATTAAGAATTTTGAGCTCAGCAGCATRTCAAATAATGAGCAGGGAGCAACAGATGAGCTATTATTTCTTCAGGGCTTCACATACTCCCGTCTTCAGGCAAAATTCCCCACGTTTATTCACACACGGAACCTGCAGTTATGAATCGAGTGTTGACAACAGGCATTTCTAGGCCTTCTTCATAAAGCCCTGTAATTAATTCCTCCTAGGGATTATMAAGCCTACTCCACATGTCGGGCCAATGCCTTAGGACACGCACTGCAGATTATAATGCAGAGTGCTCCAGCTGAGGGAGATACCTAAGAGCGGAGGRGAACCAAGCAGTCAAGAGCCAGGAATGAGCCGTGATGGATTTACTCCCATTATCCTACATCACAGCAGCTCCCTCCTCCTTTCCTGCTTCGCTCTCAGAAAAAGTGAAACGCAAAGCACTGAGTAACAGGCACGAAAGAGGCCTATGGTGGAGACCCCTCYGGCAAAACCCCATTGCAACAGCGATGGTCTCCGCACTCGATCCGGGCTCCGAGAGGATCCATCGTCTGACTCAATACCCCACCCTGATGAGCARGGCGCATTTAGGACAAATGCTCCTGTGGCAGCAAATTGTCTGCACCCCAAGGCAGCGTTTCCTGGGGCTGACACCTCCCGCCCGAGGTTACCTGCTCACCTTTACCAGTTGCCACGTGCGGGAAGGGAATTAAAAGAAAAATCCATTTCAAGAGCAATTATCCTCCAAAGCAGCTAGAGGAACTGCAAAAGTATCTACACAGAAGGTGCCAGGTAGCAACCCGGTGCTGACTGTACATTGAAAATGTTATTTTTCATTGCAGGTATTTATGGAAAACGTCTCACAGGTGTAGGACCAAAGTCAAAAAAGGACACAGTCCTTCCTCCTGCAGGCCCAGAAAACAGATTTGTGTCAGATAAACATCCTGATTTCAACAAATAGGTAAGAAACAAGACTTTCTTCCTATCGTCGTCGAATGTGATTGTTTATCTCTATTATCAGTCTGCTCTTTGCAGATTAGCTCTCAGCAACAGCCAACTCGTCCCTGAAGGAGCTTACGGTTTCTGAAGAGGATCAGAGGATGCTGTCACAGTGGTTTTATTTTACTGTCTGAGCACTTCTGGGGTTAAAACATAATGTGAGGAGGACGATGACGGCGGCGGTCCCCGAAGGCAGACGCTGTGTAATGCTTCCATTTCACTCGTGATCCGCACGAGCTGCCGTCACCGCCGCCGCTCTCCAGCCTCCTGCCGCTCTTCCGGCGCCACTCCGGTTTGAGCCCAAGCGGCTCTTGCAGTTGCGGGAGCAACCCGTTCGTTGCACCAAATTGCAGAGCTGCGTCTGGGGGCTGAGCTCATCTGCTAATTACAGACTTCAACTCCCAACGTCCAAATGCACACGTCAAACAAGGACACATCTCATTACGGTCGCCTGTATCAAYGCCTGCAGTCCAGCAGTATTAACAATTCCACAGTATTTCCAATTACTGTTGAGCAGAACCCTGACAGGGCTTACCCACGATAGGACAAAATGCAGCATGTGTGTCTCTAGCTTTTTATTGTACGCATCTCTCTTAACTGTAGCAACTACATTGAATTTTGGCTCGTGATGCTGCTACTCCTTGCAACAAAACTCCCTTTCTCTCCAGAGGCTGCAGCAGGATGAAGCGGCAGGCGCCTGGCAGGAGCATGAGCCATACTGAGGACCACCCTCCTCCTCCTACTCCTCTGCAACCTCCAAAGCCTCCATTTCCACACGTAGATGTGTCCCCCAGGATGAAAAGTAATCACAGCCAGACAGAACAGCACCATCAAGCCATTACTCCGAGACCTACAGTTCTGCATTAAATAATAAATATCTGGCACTCCATATAGTTTCCAGTGCATCTCACTGAGATCATTAGTTGCCTTTCTACGGGGTAAAACTCGGGCAGATATTAATARCTACGTCGTGAGAAGCCTTTGCTAATTACGCAGTTTGACGTGCTTTTGCTAGAGGGGAAGAATTAGTGAGAATTTTTAAGCTTTGTAAAATGCAAGGCATATTCCGAAGGCACTCCAAGGAATTCTGGTGTAAAAGGTGCTTGTATCGTCTATAACCCTTTCCCAAAGCACTTGGGAGGAGGCAGCCCAACAGCTCTGCAGTCCCCACGTGCAGACGCACAGCGAGGAGCCTCTGCAGAGGCAGGTGCTTCTCTCCACCTTCCCGACCACAGGCAACCCTTGGATTCAGGTCTGACACGAATGTGGTGGGTCTGCACAGAGTCACTTCTGCTGCTGGTACTTACCAGCCGGTCAGCCCCAGGCTCCAGCTTAACTTCAGTACTAACAGGACGGGACGCCTCATCTACCGCAGGATCAGGGGGCGACGCTTCACCRAGAACTATTAGCCCCTGAAAAAGAGGGAAGAGGAATTAAGCGGGGATTCCTTGGGCTCAGCAGGGGAGCTGCAAATCCATYGCTGGCCGGAAATGAAAACCATGTGGCAGAGCTCGCGTGCCCCTGTTTTGCAGCCATGATGCCAGCTGAACCCCTGCTGCCTAGGTTTTCCTGATGCCAAGGCTGAACTTCCAAGGGGAAGACAGTGGCTGAAGCCAGATCCCAGGCCTTGGACCCGTTGATAGCAGGCAGGAGGCAGAACTGCTGCCCCATAGTTGCCTATTCCCTGCCCACCTCTTTTCCCCCCTTCCCAATTGCTCTCTGCCTGGCAGCTCCTTTCTGCCAGCAAAACCCACGGCACATCCCAGTGCAGGGCAGAGAGGAAACGGCTGCTTTAATAACACTAAGTGCAACGGGCTGCCATGGCCAAGCCCTTTGGAGCAGGTGCCAAAACTCGGTGCTCAGAGYGGAATTTTCAAAAAAAGAGACATTTACAAAATTCAGAAAGGGGAGAAAATATCTCCTATATACATGCTATAGACCCAGCAGGATGAAGCACGGGGCAAAGCGCTGCTTTATCACCCTTCCYGTGTGTCCTCCTGTTGCTGTTCCTGCCAGCAAAGCTCCCCGAAGGGCAGYACTCGTCTCCTCGCAGCCGACTTCTGGCGAAGGGATCTGGCAACTCACATCTYGTGTGGCTCATCTTTTACAGAGCTCATCAGGGGCTTTCCAGAAACACCTTGGTACCCCATACTTCAGGCTTGGTTTACTTAGGAACAGTCAAACAGTAGTTTCTGAGGAGTAATGAGGAAATCACCAGCTTCTAAAGTAAGTCCAAAGATGAGTTTCTACATCCCGAGAGCCCAGAAGGACATTCAGTAGATGAGAGGAGCTGGGAGCCCAAGCAAATACTGCTGTTTTTTCCTGCACTCTTGAAAATTCATCTCCAGAAGCCACCACCTTCTGCTCCTGGAGACCGTTTCGGCCAGGCTTCAGCAGCAGAGAGCTTGGTCCTCACCAGGTGTCAAGTACAGGGGACAAGTGGCACAAAAAGGGAAAAAGCGGCAACTAGATGGAACACTGCACTCAGGGAAATTGCCTCCTTTTGACCCTCTGCAAAACACCTGGGCTTCTATTGTGTTCAGACAAAAGGAGATGGAGAAGCAGGTGCATCAGGAAGAGAAAGAGCTACCGAGGAGTTAGCCTTTGGTTGAAAGGCTAGAGGATGAGCGGAGCTGGCTCTGCGCCTCAGGAAAGAGCCGAAATTGCTTCCCAATACCGTGAGGATTTAAAAGTTTGTCTCTTTGTTTAAAAGTTTGTCACTTGCCCAATCCGAGGTGCTGGGGAGCTCCTCCCGCCGAGCGCCCRGCTCCTCCCAGCGACAGCGGCAGCAATTCCTGCGCCCAACGCCCGGCACATCCAAGCACGGATTGGAAGAGGAAATGCTCGCGTGACACTTGCTGCAAACGCCCCCAACGCGAGGCTCCTCCCAACTCTTTTTCCACTCTTCCCATCCTGAGTGATTTTAACTCCCAGTGGTTCCCCCTGGGTTCCCTAACATGGAGGGACGTGACTGAAAGGGTGAAGCCCTTTCCTTGTTCACGTTCGTCTCCAGAAGCGGTGTGCAAACCACCAGCTTCATCTCGAAGGAGCCCCAGGCTCCACATTTCAATTGATGGCACAAATTAAGACATTCTCCCCTTATTTCAGCTGTGCAAGAAGGAAGCTTGTAAGGAAAGAGGAAAACTGCTCGTTGCTCTGCCACCCACACTAAGGGAGGCACAAGGCTGCTGTGTTGGGGGGTTGGTCCCAGCATCAGGCCACCCCATCTCTAAAAAAGTCCAAAGAAAGGACATCTGTGAGAAGAAACAAGCCCACCATGTTACCACTGGGGACATGCAGTCCCCGGGGTGAGTGGACACACTCCTCCAACCAACACAGAGCAGAAAGCACAACAACTCGCTGCTTTAAATGCCAGAAAACTCCCCAACCTGCATTCAATACACGCACCCTTAATTGTTGTTTTCCTCCACATTTTAGTGAGTTCCAAGCAAGCTGATCCAAATGTGTTTGAAAACACATTTATACTGCCAGGACACAGAGGTMGCAGTCTCCCTTCAAAACACAACGTTACCTGCAATCGCCTTGTCCCAGCGTTGTTTTAACTTGACAAGCAACGTGTCTTACCTGCAACGGTACGTTGTGATCTAAATCTCAACATGTAAATGTAACTTAAATAAAAATATTAAGCAGCAGCTTAGAATTGCTCCAGCAGTCACGCTTTAACCTTGTTATATTTTGTCCTTGCTGCAAATAATCCAGAGTCAATGCTGTTTGAAAAAAAAAAAGCACGCTGTCTGCAGCTTCTCCAGCTGTTGCCCTTGCACAGTTCCAAGTCAAACTCATTCCAAGAAGACTCCCGTGCCACTGAAATCTCTCATCTTTTCTATTCACCACTAGTTACTTTAAAAAAAAACAAAAAAACAAAAAAAACCCAAACCTTTTTCAGAGTTCTTCCTCAATGAAAAAAGATATTTGACAAGGCATCCTTGAGCTCAAGGACATCAACACAAGAAGAGCTGGGTGCAAATGGTGGTCTCCACAAAGCGTTAGCAAAACGAGGAGGAATTTAACATTCCCATGTTCCCATAAATGGCATTTGTAAACTAACACTATGTCAAAATGCTCAAGTTTTAAAACTTTTGCTTTATAATCACAGATGGTCCTTCCCCTATCGAGTATCAAACAGTAACCACAACAGCTCATAAATTAACAGAAAACTGATGCCTGAAAACCTCAAATACATCTTGATCGTTCTTCATTCATGACAGAAATATTTTCCACTACCTTGGTCTATTTGGTGACCTAAATCCCATCTTCACCTTCCAGTGAAGGTCTCCTATTGATACCTGCCAGTTCTTAAACTGCCACAAGCACTTTGCAGCAGGATTTACAATTCTGCATTTTAGCCTTAGAAACCACCTTGCAAGATTTGTTCTCTTAGGACAAAAGAGAGATGAATCTTTCCGAAACTGGTTCTCTAATTTGACATACAGACCAATTTTGAGAGACCTTTTCCCCTCATTTCAATTTTGTAACCCATTCAGTAAGCCGTGTTCTTCTACCCAGTCATTTACTGCAGTTAGTCACTCAATTTGCCTGTTTTTCTACATAGCTGCATAAAAGAGCAGAGTTTTCCTCTCCTGCCTGGGCCTTTCTACCTGCCTGCAAGTCTCTTCTCATCATTCCCTCTGTACAGCTTGAGAAAAGTGTTTGCCAGATTCGCAGTTCCTGAGGATCTATAAAATGATGCAATATCATAACACTTCTTGTTTAAAACTCCAGACATTCCTCCCTCCCAGGCCTCACATTTAGCTACACATGCTTGAGCAGATAAGCCTTAATAACAGTTCCTTCCTCAWCCCTTCTCTACTCTCCTGCATTCTCACGCTATCCAAGAGGAAGTTTGGAAAAAAAACCTTCCACTGCAGAAGGTCAGCACCTAGAAACAGATTTTATTATGATACTGACTCAGTTTTAGGCCTGTGATATGGGATCGTATCTCCAACTGACTTCTTCCACAGTCCTCTCCCTTTCCCAGTAAATCTCTTGTTCTGCTGTTCCTTATCCCCATATCTTCTGCTACTCCCCAGAAGAAAGAACAGGAAAGAAAACAAAATCCAATAAAAAAGGCAATGGCCAGAATGGTGGGGAGCAGCAACCAGCATGCAAAAGCAACAGTTCCCTTGAAAACTCAAATGCTGGCTAGAAAGTGATGCTCTCTTTGGATTATTTTATTGAAACAGGGAAAAAAACCTACACTCAGTGGATGCCAAATAACACTAGACGTAGCCACAAGTGTGCAGTGTGTTTTATGGGAGAGGCAGGACCATTTAGCATCAGGAAGGAGCCATTAGGAGGCCGGCTGAGCTGAACTGCGCACGTACGGATGCACTTCTGGTCCTCACCTTATTGGCTCTTATCTGCTTGTAAATATCCGTTTGCTGCCGGATTCGGTATTCCAGGTCGGAGACATGGGCTTGGAGCCAATTCCAACGGCTGACGATGGCTGCACGGTCTGCTGCCCATCTCCACTCTGCCCTTCGTCTCCTGGAAAAATAAAAAGAGGGAAAGGGGTTATTTGGAGCAGTTTTCATTACTCCATCCATAAACAGCCTAGCAGAGCTGTCCAGCACATCGAAAGTTACCTCTAGCCATCATTAATTGTAATCAGCTAAACCCAAAATGAGCTGCAAAAGCCTTATCTTCACACAGCATCATTAAAGCAGTTTTTGGTACCTAGTGATTGGAGTCCTGCTCACACAAGTGTTAAGACCTCATGCCAAGCTCCAGTCCTATCCGGCCACATCTGCCAGACCACTTGGAAGGAAAACTCACCCGCCTTCCCACCCTGAATTTACTCTCTATAAAGGCACATCTGCCACCAGGCCTGAAGGACGGCTCCACGTGCAGCCACGATTCAAGTTTCACAACACAGAGAGCCCTTTGGTTTTGAGAGAAACCTCTCCTGGAGACAAGCCCCAGGGCTGAGAGGGGCCCTGCTCAAGCTGCTCCTCTGCAACGAGGTGCTGYGGAGCTCGGCAAACTCCCTTTCTGCTGCTGGTGGTTGAACCCAGCAGATGAGGAAGCCAGCGAGACACCAAACCACCGTCGAGCTGCCCCTTCTGCTCCCCAGGGCTCGGTGGCGTGAGCACGTGGGGAGGCCACACGCTTTGCAAGTGCTGGCCCATTTCCTCCCTGCAGCAGCAGTGCTGCAAACACCAAAAACCGTTCTGCAGGTGCATAAACTGCAAGCAAACTGCACCGAACACCAAATTCTGCAGGTGCATAAACTGCAACCAAATTGCATGAAACACCAAATACCATTCTGCAGGTGCATAAATTGCAACCAAATTGCATCAAATACCAAATTCTGCAGGTGCATAACAACTTAGCAGAAAGCAAAGGAAAAGAACCCAGCACAACACAGGAAGGCAACACGTGCAGAAATCCAAGGCTCCACTCAGCCTCCTTAGAGCGTTCCTGGACATCAGAGCCTTGGCCACATCCAGGTAACTGGGAACACAAAATTAATCCYAAAGTACTCTCCCTTGCCCCCTCCTCAGCAGCATTTCCTTGCCCAATGTCAAATCTCCATKGCTTGTGCAATGCAAGGTGCTGCTAAATGAATTACGTGCCGTGGATGCACATTTACTACTGAAGGGCACGAGCTGTCTGCAGGTGAAAAAAGAGCAGCAAGGGCCACATTCCTAGAAGAAATGACCCAGCATCACTATGACCAAGGCGACTGCTTGAAAAAGCACCAGGGTGTTCCAAGCTTCCATCCGTCTCATACAGAAGCCCTGGAAAGAACAAGCTGGCTCTGCGGAGCTGCAGTAATAATGACTAAGCTGAACTCATGGAGCCTTKCTTGATGCRCTGATGCCTTGATTGATTCCTTGATTGACTGATTCCTTGATGCCTTCCTTGAACCTGCGCTGGCCGCTTCACTTCTTCAGTTCAGACTTCCCAGAGAAAGGGGCAATCGCAGGAACTGCCTATACTCCTTGAAAGTCTCCCTCAAGACCATTTTCCAATCACCTTGGTGAGCTCAAGCTCTTCTGGAATCCTTCACCATAGGAAACTCTTGCTCTTAACGTCAATGCTGAACTTGCATTCGGTGACAAATTTCACATTGATGGTAGACAGGTGCCAAAGCAAGGCTTGCTCTTAATCTCCATCGGTCCCACGGAGGCACCAAGCCAGGAGGGTCCCAAACAATGTACGGCAGGGCTGGATAAGGATGTAGGGCTTTTCCAAGAAGTGCCAGTGCAGGTCCTGTTTGGCTGCCTGCTGGTCAGGGTGACCATGGGGTTAACAGCGCTGCCAGTGGCTACCAGTATCACCCAGTGTCATCAGATGCTGCCGCTTCAGTCCCGCTCCCCGGCTTTGTCAGGCTTTATTCCAAGGAGGACAATGTGACGCAAGCTTGAAGGCAGAGGGGGCTTCTTCCCAGCAAGGAAATTCCAGCCTGCCTCCGAAATGGCACGAAATCACAGAAGTCCAGAATGGTTGAGGTTGGAAGGGAGCTCTAGAGATCATCTARTCCAACCTTCCTGCTCCAGCAGGGACATCCAGAGCACAGGGCGGCATCCAGGCGGGTTTGGAGACCTCCAGAGAAGGAGCCTCCCCGGGCAGCCTGTGCCAGGGCTCTGTGACCCTCACAGTGAGGAAGTTCCTCCTCACATGGAGCTGGAACTGCCTGGATTGCAACTCACACCCATTGCCCCTTGTCCTGTCACTGGTCACCGCTGAGAAGAGCTCTGCCATCCCCTCCAGAGCGCCGGGAAGAGCCGGGGCAGGACACACGTCTCCTGCCCTCCTTTTGCAGAGCAGTTTCTCTGTCATCGCTGCTCTGCCTCAATCACCCACAACCCTGACAGCATTTTCATACTGCAGCTTCCCACAAGACTTTCTAAAGCACATTACTCATTTTTCCAATATTTCAAATTCAGAAGGACAATTTTACTGGAGAAGCGTTTGTGGTCTTTTTTTCCCTTGTAACTTAAACTCAAACAGTCCAGGGCTCTGCAATGACCATCTTTGCTTCCATGAACAGCATTTCCAGTATCCATAGATAAAGCGGACTATTTGGACTTGCCGGGTTCTGATTCACATTTCATCTTACCGAGCGGCAGATTTTGAATCCACAAAGAAATAATTCAGAGGCTGAAGTTTTTACAAGAAAGAAGCCAAGAGGSCCAAGCTCGTGGTCGGCAGCCTCAGCTCTGCCGCCCGGAGATCCACAAGGGGTTAGAAAAAGATGGAAATTGTTGCCAAAAGCCTCCAAAGTCACCCAAGTGCCTCCCAGACAACAGCAGCATCGTCCTGCTCCTTCAGCAAATAAGTTTCATTCTTTTATTGCAATTAGAAAATAGAAATCAAGGGGAGGGAGGTAAATAAAGACTTCAAYGAGATTCCTAAGCGACACGGAGTGGCAGACTCTCCGGACAGGAGAGTCCAGAGGACAGGAGAGCAGGACATCTCTTAGTCCAGGAATCTCCCTGGGACGCCAGAYAGCATTAGAGGCAGGAAAGGGCCAGGGTGACGGGCTCGTCACCACAGCCATCCTGCAGCACAAGGGAGGAGGGCACCCACGTAATGACGGCTCAGCCGCGCTTTCCAAAACAGCATCGAGCGGCTCGGCGGCCTCAATATTTAGATTGGAGGCTTTTTTTTCAGCAGCAGCACCATGACCCCTCGGCGGCTGCACGGCCTCCTCGTGCCGATCCACTCTGGGCGAACAAGCTGGGTAACAACTTGGGCTTTAATCTCTGCAAATACCCCCAAGAGCCGCACTTTCTTCTCCCTAGAAAGCAGCGGCCGCCAGCGAGGACAGCTCTGAGTCGGTCCCCAAAACGCCACCAAGGGGATCCCCCCAGCTGGGCCAGGCGGAACAAGCCCCTTCCTCTCTTTCTAGGCATCAGAGATCTAGAAGTGACARTTGGTAAGAATTTAACGCACTTGACCAAGAGGGGGTCGGGACTAAGCAGGACGAGGAGCTCGAGGAGACGGACAGATGGCAGGGCAAGACTTGCACCAAAGCAGCTCGAGCGCAGGAAGGCAAAGCAGGAGCAGGGTGGGAATTCCACAGCAACTGAGGCAAAGGGTGCACAGATACAGCTAATTATAATAATAATAATAATAATCATCATCATCATCATCCCCTCCCTGTGTGGATTCACGGCCCTTCCAGTGGAGGCCCCCGTGTGCAGCTGGCCTGGCACTCAGCTTGACAGACAAGGACAACGTCCTGGAGCCCCCGGCACACAGTGCTTATGGCAAATGGGGCCCACGGGGCGAACCCACGGCCCTGGGAAAACAAGAGGACGCTGAGGTGACCCTGCAGTGCTGCCAGGGTGCACAGGGACAGCGGGGACAGCACCCCTGGGCCCGGCGCCTCCATTTCGGCAGCACTGCGGCTACAGAAGAATCACAGCATCACAGAACGGCTGAGGTTGGAAGGGACGGAATCACAGGATGGTTGAGGTTGGAAGGGATCTCTAGGGATCATCTAGTCCAACCCCCCTGGCTCCTGCATGGTCACCCAGAGCACAGGGCACAGGGCGGCATCCTGGTGGGTTTTGAAGATCTCCAGAGRAGGAGCCTCCACAGCCTCCCTGGGCAGCCTGTTCCAGGGCTCTGGCACCCAAAGCCGTCATTCCCAAATACCCCAATTCCTGAGATCATGGCACTAATCTCCGTTTCTGATGCTGCTCCAGCTGCCTTCCTTTTCACAGCTCTGTGCCGAGCTCCGTGTCCCGCTCTGCTGCAGCGCTGCCAAAACACTCCCCGTTTCTCATTCCGGGAGCTTGTGTTTGCTGCAGGTCATTGTCCTTAACTAGGTGCCATATCCTGGTGCCAGCTTGAACAAAGAAAGGGAGTGCTCCAGAACCAAGCTCCCATCTCCACCCAGGACCTTCCGTAGGGAGAAACAAGGTCTGCAAACACCGTGGAAGTGGTTTCAAATCCRACCCTTCGTGACATTCAGCCGTCGGCTCTACTGAAGAGCAAATTCCCCCCATCCATTCTGCTTGCTCTCCCTGCGTTACCCAGCCCGAGGGCGAAGGTTGTGTTGCGTTCACGCTAACCTCATGTCTCATGTCATGGTGCTAGGTCTACTCCCAAACAGCAGCGAGACGTCAAGAAACAACTTAACTTAAATCAATTCTTGTTCATTCACTGCAAAAAATAAGCGTTAAGATCAGGTTCAAGCTTACCTCACCCTGCCTGCTCCCCGCTTTGCTCATATTTTGATGGCCCCAAATGCCAGCACCGACAGGTTTYGGATGCTCCGCGCTTCAACCACCACCAATGCTCACGCACTCGGCAAACAGCAGACAAGTCCGAGCAAAAACCACACGCTCTGCTCAAGCACCACTGTTCTGATCCCCAAAAATAAGTCTATGAGCATCAGCCTCCACACACAACACTAATGCAGCTTTTTCCATTGCATTTTCGTCATGCTTCATGAAGGAAGAGATTCCCACCCAATTCCRAGCTATTTTCCAGTTTGCTCCCGTGCCTACTTCCTCTTCATATTCCTTCTC